AATTGTTAGCAGTGCTTCTTAAAAGCCGTGCAGTTTTTTGCCGCTTATGCTGAGTCAGGAAACCTCCCTTAAAGGAGCCGTGCAAATATCTGCTTGTCTCTTGCAAAACAGAGTTCAACCGAGAAAAATACTGCTACCAAGAAACCTTGTTTTTTCTTAAATCTTACTAAATGTTAGTGAACTAAATATTGTTAACTGTGATTCTTATTTGATAACTGTTGTGTGATATATTCTGCTATATTAAGGTTAAAACCCTTCTTTTTATTTTAGACAGAAAAGAAGAGATGATGGGAGATGTCATTCTGTAAATATGTTTCTCATGCTGGTTAATGAATAAAGCACTGTTGGCCAATAGGAAAGCAAGATAGGTGGGACTAGGAGACAAGGAGGAAAGAGGAAGTAGTAAGGAGGAGTCAGCATGGAGAGACTGGGGAGACCAGACGCAGGCCCCATGTTGGGCACCATATGTAACGAGTAAGGTTTTCCTCCCTCTGCTGGTCTTGTCCTGCCGCCACACCAGCCCCAAATAACACACCGAGACTCTGTATTTGATATAACGCTGTTGGCCAGTTACTTGTTTCTTATCGGTTAGCTCTGCCTTAAGTATTAACCCATTTCTGTTAATCTATGTATTTCCATGTAGATTCATCGTATTGGGGAATGGGCTGGCATGCTCTCCCTGGTCTCTCCATGTTGACTCCTCCTTCCTACTTCCTCTTTCCTCCTTGTCTCCTAGTCCCACACCTATCTTGCTTTCCTATTGGCCAACAGTACTTTATTCATTAACCAGCATGAGAAACATATTTACAGAATGACATCTCCCATCAAAACCCAAACTCAAAATAGCTACAATAATAACAATATTAATATAACAATAAAAACATTGGCTTCATGAATGTTCAGATTCTTAATCTGGTCCAGTTAAAAATTAGCAGCCTCGGGGCTGGCAAGATGGCTCAACAAATAAAGGGATTTGCTGCCAAATCTGACCACTTAAATTCAATCCCTAGGACCCACAGGGTGGAAGGAAATAACCAACTCCCACAAGTTGGTCTCTGACCTCCATGCTCATGCCACAACAAGTACCTCCCCTCCACACACACATTAATTAATTCAATGTAATAAACGCCTCTTCCTGCCTTGTTACTGATGGCAAACACACAAAGCAGGCTTCCAACTGGGGCCTTGATCTCCATGCTGCTCAGACTCACATGGGGAGTCTGACCCTGTCTGGGCTCCACCCCGAGCTGTTCTGGGGCTGTTTCTTAGTCTGGAGAGAAACTCCACCACTAGCATCTTTTTAAAAGTCTTTGAAAAAAAAAATCAGCTGCTCCAATGGCTATAAAGTGTAAGCATGGTTGAAAAATACTGCTCTAACCAGATTTCACTATGCATCCAAGGCTGGTCTCCAACTCATGGCAGTCCTCCTAACCGCAGCCTCTTGAGTGTCGAAATCACAGGTGTGAACCACCACATCCAACAAATAGATATAATAATAGATAATAAATACTATACGCCTCCTTGACTTCATTATACCATAAAGGCCATAAGCAGATCTTAATTATTTTAGCTTCAACTAACTGACTTATAAAAGCAGCATAAGAAAAGTACATTAAAGATCAACTTTCAAATTGTAGATGACTTAAAATGTTCAAACAATAATAGCCTACTTTTAAATGTAAAGACCATGCTTTTAAAATGCGAATCGAGATTGTTAAATATACTTTTACCATCCGTTTCTCTTCTGTGTGAGACACTCAATCAAAAAATCAAAGTCTAAAAGGATTTATTAGAGTCAGAATTTTTTTTTCTGTGCTTGAGAAATCTCCTGTCCTTGTCTCTGGAAGGCTATGCCCTGGGTCATCCACTACAACTGTGCAGGCTACGCACTGAGTAACTTAAAGAGTGCTGTGGATATTGAGGTTTTTGTTTGCCTTTGTTTAATGAGTGACATACCATTTAATTGAGCTGTCATTTGAGGAAAACCACTTGCTATCACTCTCCACTCAGCATTTTCCAGGAACCATACTTGGAGGTCATGAACTTTGATTTAGGCCAAACCTGGATAAGACCTACTCAAAGTGGAGACCTGACGTGTCTGGATTAGATGTCAAAGTATTTGCAAGTCTGTCTCCTTCAGACCTTACTGGGAGACCCACAGTTGTCGTCTTTCCCAAATTAGAGACATTGTTTGGGGGCCTTGCCTGAGAAGCACACAGTACCCTGCCCCCATTCAGTGACCACACACAAGTTCTTGGGGAAGAAAGCATAAATGATAACAAGATGCTAACAGTCCAGGAACCAGGTCCCCCTTCCCCTGGGACAGAGATTCAGCTTCCTGTTTCATTTCCAGCCTCTTTTCCATCTCTCTCAATCTGACCCCCAGACTTGCCAATGTGGGCAAGTCATTTCATTTGTCTCCTTGCCACCAGTGGCATAATAGTGTCCATACCACTGCACCATTAGAACCACAACAGGGAAAGGGGGTCCATTGCATCCATTATTACTGGACATTGGTCCCCTCTCTTCCTCTCTTCATTCATTAAGACTGCCATCGCCCAGAGCCTTCCATCCCCACAGCTGCTACCACCTTGACCAGAACACCCTAGAATGTCCCAACCACTTCTTCTCTTAGTCTCAATAACCAATAGATGTCCCAAATACTTGACATAAAATTGCATGTTGTGCGATCAGGTCCAGAGTGGCTCTTGCAGGAAGAGGAAGTGAGGTGCTCAAATGTTTCTGAGCAAGCCTTGTATAGGACAGTCACCCTCTCCCATTGTGCAGAGGCTCATTGGCCTCTCTAAAGTACCTGGTGCTATACACCTTCTCAGGACTGTGGCTCATCCTCATCTTAGTATCCAGGTCACTGGAAAAAATTCTCAAACTTCATACCCTGGCCAAACACAGAAGGAAAACAACACAGCTTCCCATATCCCAGACCAGATGAGAGCCCTCTCCAGGCTTTTAAGGCAGCTGGAAGCCGCTGGCCTGTCCTCCACCAGGCCTCTGCCTTTCCTCCCCTTTGTCTCATAGTTCAGCCAAGGGCTCCAGAGTGGATGTCTGGCTCTCTTACCCTGAGGCCACCCCATCCCTGCTCTGTACAGCTGCTTTAGCTCCTCCATTTGCCTAACCCCTTGCCCTGGTGCTTCCCACCTCCCATACTGAAGCTAATGGACAAAAGAGAACACAACTAGCTTTTCTGAAGCAGGAGAGCTGCCCCCAGCTTCCTCTCTGCCGACTGACCTGACCTATTGCTGCTACTGCTGCTGCTGGGAATCCTGGTGCATGCTGGGAAACCAAGTGCATGCCGGGATTTCAGTCAGTTCCTCCATGCATTTTGGGGTTGCTTGGAACTGTGAGTTTCTAATCCATGGTGTGTGCATCTTGAAATGAAGTTAAGAACGTCACAGGAAGAGAAGAGATGCCAGCAATATGGAGAAGAGGAGCAGCACAGATCGAATGAGGTACCTGAGAACCAGAGATTCTTAGGCCACAAATTGCATAGACTTAGCCAAGGTGATCCAGAACTCAAAGATCCAGGGGCAAGTGCATTGACCATCCTAGCATAGGACTGACATAAAAGTCTGGATTGCTGTTAGAGGCAGCAAGATCTAAGTCCTAGGATGAATTACGGTCCTGCTCTGAAGTCAAGACTCTGCTGGTCTGGAGGAGATCATCCATCAGAATACCGTTGGATCCTGGCTCTCAAGTAAACATAATTGCAAGCCTCTTCCAGGTTGACGGTGTAGCTCAGTTGACAGAGTGCTAGCCTGGAATGTTCAAAGCCCTGGTTCGGATTGCCAGCACCACATAAACCTGACGCGATGATGCACACCTAAAATTCCAGAACTCAGCAAGTGGAGCCAGGAGAATCAGAAGTTCAAGATCACCCTCAAGCACACAGCAAGGTCAAGGCCAGTTCTGGAGTATAAATACAAAGACAGCAGAAGTCTTCTCCAACCCCTCCCCAGCCTCTTGGCTTCCCGGAAAGGAGTAGAAAGACAAGTATAAGAAGTTTAGTTCTTGCTTTGGCTAACTGTTGATAAGTTGAGGCAAAGGTCAATGATTTACAAATTCAAGTCTTTCAAAAAGTTCAGCTAGAAAGTATGCCTTGGAGCCAAATGAGCAGAAGAGACGAAGAGTCTAGCTGAGACAGAGGGGTCTGGGCATCTAACTGAATCCCAGGCTGGTAATGAGCATCTAGGAAGACACTAACTGAGCCAGCTTCCCATGTTTGCCTGCCCCTGACCAGGATGGGTGCCCATCTAGAAATTACAACTCTTGAAGATGCCCATCTTTTGAGGCTTCAAGCTGGAAGGAGACCACAATGTTGGGTGAAGTTATGTTCCCTATCCCAAAAGAAAGACTCGAGTTTCATAAATGCTCTTGAATGTTATTTACTGAAAACAAAGATTACCCACAACCCTGAAAATCTAATGAGTTCCCTGCAAAAATCCCATATGGCCATTTTTTTTTTCATGGCTGTCTCTATACCCCTTCTAGATGGCTCACTCTAGAACAGGGGTTTCTCTCTTCTCCTTGCCTCACAACTGAAGAGGAAGCCAGGAGAAGCAAGACTTCGAACCAAGCTTTAAGAACTTCACTTCCAGTTTCTTTGCCTACCACTCACTGTGTCCATGGCCAGTTCAGACTTCTTGAAATATTCATAAGAAAAATATCTTGAAGGAACTCCATCCTCAGGCTCGCAAAAGGCATTTGCCTACAGAAGTACCAGACCTCTCCAAACTGAAAAACTAGTCCCAAGACTCAAAGTTTGCCCATCAAGACTCACAGACATCCAAAGAAAACTTTGGTTCAAGCAGTCCAAGATGGCGGTAGCGGCAGCAGCGGCAGCAGCAGCAGCAGCAACAGTTCTCAGGAAATCCAGCCAGGCCTCTTCCAGCCTGGAGAGAAGGAAGGCTGGCCACCCATAATGAAGCCACATTGCTTGTGAATTGCCAGCAGAGGTCCTAATGGTGGCCCTTGGTTTCTTGCAGACATTGATGAGTGCCTCTCAAGCCCTTGTCTGAATGGAGCCACCTGCGTGGATGCCATCGACACTTTCACATGCTTATGCCTTCCCAGCTACGGAGGGGACCTGTGTGAGATCGGTACGGCCGTCTCGGCTTCAGCTAATGTTACTAACTGCTGCCCTCCTCCTTCCTTACCCTTCCCTTCTAACCACAGGTTCCAGGCCTGAACTGGAGCCCACAAGTCTACCTGGAGAGCCATTCTGGGGAACACAACTGAGAAGCCTGTCCCCCGATTTCAACGCTTGTCCTTGCTCTTTCCCTCTGGGAGCCTGCCCCTGAAATGTTGGCTGATCTGACTGCAGGAGAGATGCATACTTTGCATCTTGCAGACCTAACCTTTTCCAGAGCTTGCAGACTTGCTGGTGTGACCACAGAGCTCAGTGCATGGGTCCCACTAGGACGACACAGCTGATCCTGGGCATCGGTCTTGAAGAAAATGATGGGTAGGAGCAATGGGTTCTCACTCAACTGGTGGCCATGGATCTTCTCGGCACGATCATGGGCACTGTCTACCTTGCTGTGTTCTCTGTGGGACTTTCATATCCTTTCCATGTCCCTGGGGAGCCACAATGTTGTGCTAACAGAGCTGCCTTCCTCCTCTTCTCCTGGCATGAGGGCTGTGGGTGATCTACATGAGAGGACTTGTATCACCAATATGCTCCAATCATGCATGAACAAGGGCCATGCATGCCATTCTCTCTTCATCATACCATGGCGGCTGCCCTCTGAATGCTACCCTAGCCCATGCTCCCTTTCTTGCTCCCTTGTACAAAGCAAAAATCTGATCTGCTGGAGCAGTCTTGTTGGAGGCACAGGAGCTGAGTTTCCCCTGGTGGGCCTTGCCAAAGCCTTGGGCCAGGGCCCAAGGCAGGACCGGCTGACCTCCTGCACTCTCACTGATCATGCTGTCTAGGATCCTTCCAGCCCCAAGCCTTCCCAAATCAGAAAAGGAGCCTCTAGGCTTTAGGATGCTGCTAGCAATGGCTCACACAGGACTGGAAGTGTAAATTGGCTCAAAACCCTTTTCAATGAACTCTTGTTAGAGAACCTTCTAGAAGGCAGCTGAAACTCCTGAGAAATCTCCCTTTAAGCCTGAACAGGGTGAGGAACTAACAAGAATTATGCATTCTTTGGAGGCTTGCCAAGGGTACATGTTGATGGAGGAACTTAAGGTTTCTATAGTAAGAGACTGGAATACTCACCTTCCCTGAGGCCTCCTGCCTTCTATCATACACCCCAAGACATCAGGTGCATGCTTGGGGGCCTCAGCTGAGTGGGAATAGAGAGTACAAGGATTTTCCCTCCAGGGTGCCACAAGGGAGAAAGGTTTAGAACATCCACACAGGCAACAGCTCGGGAACTCGTCTGGGAAAGGGAGACTCTACTGCAACAGGGGCAGAGTTCTGCATCCTGATAGACAGGAAAAGAGAATCCAGAGCCACCCAGCTGGGCCCCAGCCTGAGTGCCCAGCAAGGCAAGACTCTGCTGCAACCTGGAATGCAATGCCCCACAGGGTCTTGTACCTGGTGTCACCGCTTTGTCTACCCTCTGTCCTATCCTCGCAGCCTGTATTGGCATGGTCCTCCCCAGCCAAGCCTGCCTCCTGTTATCTCTGACCCTACCAGACAAGCTTAGCCCTCAGATGCTGAGCATCCTCTGAGGCCTCCTTGGCCTCTTTCTAGACCTTTATCTCCCTTGTGGAGTACACCAGTAGGTATCAGGAAGTTCCTCTTCCTCCCAGCCTCTACTCTGCCTCTTTCTCCTTTGGCCCTCCATTCCCCTTCTCTTCACTTCCCAGCCTTGCCAAACACCCTTAGTCCAAAGGAGACTCCTTCCCTTCAGGGAAATAACCTCATCCTTCCTAGACCAGCCCAAGTATTGAAGCCACCTGGTTTGGAAGCTGCCACACATCCTGAGATATTTGTGGCAGCTCCCAGAGCCTCAGGGTCCTCCCATCCATATGGAGGCTCCAGGCAGGGAAATGAAAAAGGGAAAATTTAGGCTTCCCTCTGTCCAGTGCTCCATTGACAGTTGTTTAGCTACTGGCTCTCACAGAGGAGAGGGAGTCCTGGCTAGGGCATCTTTCCAGACCTGAGATCAAAGCCCTTCCATCAGGGCCAAGCTACAATTGTCCACATGCTGCCACAGAAGGCAGTGAGCCCACAATTCCCTCTTTGATCCTGATAACCTGACTCCATGTCCCCACTGCTGTCCTCAAAGGCCACTCCAGGACTTCAAACCAGACCCTCCTCCAGCCCAGCACCTGCTGTGGGTGAAGCAGCTTTTCCTGCCTCAGCTGCCACCAAGATGTGAAACAAAAGACAGGGCCCCTGGGTCACAGGCCAACCTCTAGTAGGCTTGTAGCTCTTTAAGAGGACAATACGGTGGGCTCTGCTAGAACCAGCTCAGGGACCTGGGGCAGAAACGCTTTTCTGGCATGCAGGAGGCCTCAGGCTTCATCCCAGCAATGCACAGGATAGTTAGAATTAAACGAATCATCATAACAACTGCAGCCAGCTCAGATCCATCACCCAAACTTGCTCAGGACCCCCAAGAGACTTATTCCTGGGGCGGGGGAGGTGTCTCTGGCCTCACCCAAGATTCTGTGGGAAAGAGGCTACCAGCCCCATCATGTCCAGCCTCTTTTGCTACCTCCACCTGCTGCCCATAACTCCTTTCCCAGAATCCCTCCCTCAGACATTCTGAACTATGTTTTGCCTTAAATTTTAAAAACCTCCCACCTGATTGTCCCTTTGTCCCTCAGCCTGCCAGCCCTCCACCCACCCACTCAGGGCAGGAGTACAACCACAGGAGGAAATCTCCGGAGTCAGGGTGCTACATCGGGGAAAGGAAAAAATCTGTTCCCAGGTGGCCTGCATGTGGAGGCTCCCCGAGTCAGTTGTTACTGCGTCCTACTTGGGCCTCTGCCCAGCCGAGCCTGTTGCCTCCCTCCAGGCAGCCTTTCAGGTGGACTGAACATAGAGGTCCACGCCACAAGACTGGCAGTGAGCACACACCCAGCTGGCCTTGCCCCCTCTTCACGTCCCTGACCTGTGTTACAGACCAGGAACAATGCGAGGAAGGATGGACCAAGTTCCAGGGCCACTGTTATCGACATTTCCCTGACCGTGAGACCTGGGTGGATGCTGAGAGAAGGTGTCGAGAGCAGCAGTCACATCTGAGCAGCATTGTCACTCCTGAGGAACAGGAGTTTGTCAACAGTGAGTGTGCCAGGAGCAGCAGTGAGAACAAAGGGCCTTATGGGTCAGAAATGAGCAGGCTGGGGACTGAGGCTGTAGCTCAGCTCTACAAGCCAGTGCTGCAGGAAGGGAGAGGGAGGGAGGGATGGAGAGAGGGAGGGAGGGAGGGAGGAAGAGGGGGGGGAGGGACAGAGGAAGAGAGGGATGGAGGGAGGGAGGGAGAGAGGGAGGGAGGAAGAGAGGGGGAGGGAGGGAAAGATGGAGGGATGGAGGGAGGGAGAGATGGAAGGAGGGAGGGAGAGAGGGAGGGAGGATGGAGGGAGGGAGGGATGGAGGGAGGAAGAGAGGGAGGGAGGAAGAGAGGGGGGAGGGAGGGAGAGAGGGAGGGAGGGAGGGAGAGAGGGAGGGAGGGAGGGTGGGATGGAGGGAGGGAGAGAGGGAGGGAGGGAAAGATGGAGAGAGGGAGGGAGGGATGGAGGGAGGGAGGGAGATACAGAAAGGGGGTCCATATTGGGCATGCTGCAGGGCAGGGAGCTAGAAGATGGTCAAATGCTCCCACAGTTCCCTCAGAGAAAATACAGCCCCAACTGACCCAGGACAGACCCTGCCAGACAGAGATAGCCCAGGCTAGCCCTGTAACTATCACCTGCCCATGCCAGCCTGAGGAGGTGTTCCAACATATACCACAAACATGCATGTCCTTGGAAGCCAGTGGCGTGCACCTAGGAGCCACTTGCTTCCTTCTACCACACCCTTCCCTGTCCATGAGTTCCAGTCCCCAGACAGTCCAGGGCATCCAAGACCAGGTGCAAACCTATCTTCCCTTTCCAGAAAATGCTCAAGACTACCAGTGGATAGGTCTGAATGACAGGACTATCGAAGGGGACTTCCGCTGGTCTGATGGACACTCCCTGGTGAGTTGCCAGAGAATAAGAACTGGAATAAAGACCCCCCCCAGAACAGCACACATTCAGACCTCAGGCAAACTCACTGAGGAGACAGGTGGTTGGCAGGTGGGGACGCTGTAGGAAGGGATTGTGACTCTTTCCTCTCGACCTCTGGAGACCAGCCTGGAGCTGAGTGGATTTCATAAGGAAAGGCATACGATGGGAGAAGGGGCCAGAAGGAAGTGGAAAAGAGAAAATGACAGCAAGCTATGATGAAGGCTAGATGACATTTGAGGGAGTTCCCTTATGTGCAAAGGGCTAGGGTCTACTCAAGGCATAAAGCAGAGATCAAGTGGACAGAAGGGCAGTCAGCTACAGATCAGTGGAAAGGGCCTTACAGGGCAGAAATGAGCAGACTGAGGATTCCCCACCAGGGAATGGATCCTTGGGGGGTGTGAGTGCTTGAAAAGGACCAGAGTCAGGCCATGTAACCAATTCCCTAACTTGGGATCCATAGCATCTAGGATGACCCCGATCAGATGATCAGATTCCCAGAAGCCCTTGCTGCTGCCTTACAACCTAGATGCTGAGTAAAAGAAACAAGGGAATAGAGAAGGAACCTGATGGGGAAGGGAGTGGGGGTCAAGCCAAGCCTTACTGCTTCAGCCTGCCCCTTACCACTTTCCTCTCCTGCCCACAGCAATTTGAGAAGTGGCGTCCCAATCAGCCTGACAACTTCTTTGCTACTGGAGAGGACTGCGTAGTAATGATCTGGCATGAGAAGGGCGAATGGAATGATGTCCCCTGCAATTACCAGCTGCCCTTCACATGCAAAAAGGGCACTGGTAAGAAGGGATTGGGAGGGTGCCGGGAGAGGAATAAGCCCTTCCCTGCAAGGGAGCCCCTTGCTATGTGACCTGGAGGGAGTACTCTTGTCTCCTGACTACTAGGGGCTATGAAAGCAATGTCAAGAAGCTCGTGGGTGCTGATGTGAGGGCCTCTCCTGACACCAGCATCCCAGAGCCAACGGCAAGAACAAGCTGACTCCTGGGAACCTTTCACCGGGACAAATTGTGGATGAAAGTCAAGGGCTAGAGGACAGGATCCTCACCTCCATGCACACCACACTCCCTCAGATGTCAGCAATAGAAAGTCACCCATAATGACCCCTGGGTGAACCACTCTTTTTTGGGGCCCTCCAAAATTGCTAGTCACGGAATCAGAGCTGCCAGGCCTGGATTCTTCAACTTTAAGGCCATGGGTCTCACAGTGCTCAAAGGACCCAGCCTCTTGCTCCTACTCATGGCCTGTGTCCCTAGGCCTCCTTTGGGCCCCACTTTCCTGGCTTTGTACATTTTACTAAAAAAAGCCACAGGGGTCCCACCGGACTGTCCTCTTTCTTTCCCACCTTAACCCCTCCGTTTTTTATCATCACGTCATTGCTCAAGGGCACCTTTATTCCTTTATATTCCCTTCCTGTCTCCCAGTGCCACAGAAGAATCCAAATGTTAGAACTGGATGTCTCAGGACTCTTAGCCCTGCACCCCCCCCCCCACTCACCCACCCACACACACTGCTTTCCAGGATCAGCACAGGAAACACAACCTGATCTTTTTCTCATCATGCCTTGGGCTCTGGGCTAACCTTGTCTCTGCCTACATGGGCTATCACAGAAGACCTCATGAGACCCCTCCCTAAAAGGCATTTGTCCCTCAGTGGCCTGTGGAGACCCCCCAGTGGTGGAGCATGCCAGGACCCTCGGGCAGAAGAAGGACCGATACGAGATCAGCTCCCTGGTGCGGTACCAGTGTACTGAGGGCTTTGTCCAGCGCCATGTGCCCACCATCCGGTGCCAGCCCAATGGGCACTGGGAAGAACCTCGAATCACCTGTACAGAGCGTAAGCATTGTCCCCCTGGTCCCTCACCTGCACAGAGTCAGATTCCACTAACGGGGCCTTTTCCCTTTCCCCAGAGCATAGTGGTAGCTGGTGCTATCCTGGAGACTTCATGCCATGCTAGGGGTTAAGGAGACAGGGAAGGCACTGGGGGTCTGCTCTGTAAAACGTGTGTGTGTGTGTGTGTGTGTGTGTGTGTGTGTGTGTGTGTGTGTGCAGGGAAGGCCCCTGTTCCCTGAAAGGAGGTAAGAAAACAGTGACTGTCTCCTGAGCCTAAAGAAGTTCAGTGAAATTTCCATCCCAGGGGAACAGAATGGGAGCAGCCCCAGGCTGCATCCCTAAGCTCGCAGTCCACTGGCAGGGCACCTGCCAACACAGGAAGGCTAGAAGAGTCTAAGCTTGGCCCTGCTTCTCCCGCTCACTGTTTATTTTCCACCTCCCCCACCAACATCTGCAGCCACCATGTACCAGCGCAGGCTACAGAAGCGGAGCCTGAGACACACACGGAGGAGCCGCCCCAGCATGGCCCACTGAGAGAAGCTTCCACCATGTGCCCCAGGAGGCTGAGCCCAGAGGCCAGCCAGGCTGACTGTGCATCCCAGCCAGATGGTGTCTTCTTCTTGTCGCTTTTTGCCATATAAGGAATCCATTAAAGAAGGAAAAATAAAATGCCCCACATTGTGTGTGCCCACACTCCCCACATCACCCAAACTACATCTAATTGGTTCCTTCCACCTTCTCCCTCCCCCCCCTAAAAAAATGCCAAAGCAAATTTACTGTGACCCGTGGACTGAGTTTAGAGACATTTCTTCGATCTCCCACCGTGCCTTTCCAGGGACCTGTGCAGGGACAGGGTAAAAGGAAGGGGTTAAATTAAATAAAGAAGATTATTTTTTTGTTTGTTTCCTGACTTTACCCAAGAGCAGTGCAATGGTTAGTTATTTCATCTCCAGGGAAAGCTATGGAGGCAGGAGGAGGAGCTGGAAGGAGACAGGGCAGGGGGGTCAGGGTGTCCTCAGAGCATGAAGGACTCAGAAGAGACTAACTATGGCTTAATGTGTTGGACAAAAGGAACAGAGGTCTGTGCCATCTATGAGGGAAGGAGCCTGGGACAGGGGACAGGCTGGCCAAGAGGAAATGAGGTTGCCTTCCCTCCAGGGCCCCTCATCTAGTGACCTCTCACCTGAGCCAACCCTAGCAGGTGTCATTCTTTGGCCGGACTGGGTAGGGGCACTTCCTTCCCAGGGCTGCTCCGCTGTCCCCTTCCCTCTCCCCACCCCGGGACGGTGCAGGCACCAGTGTTCCGTGCACCTATTTATATTTTTTGAAAACTAAAGATTATGATAATTATAATAATAAAGACATTGGAAGAGATCTATTTCCTTTCTTTTCCTTTTTTTAGAAGTTTACGTTATTTCTTATTTAAGCCGTGATCTGGAACCTCAACGGAGTCATGCTTTGATTCCTAATGACCCCAAAGTGTTGTGTCCTGTGTGTCCAGTCACATCTGTTTACCTCACTCTGACTGGAGTGACACCATGTTTGATGGACGCCTGGATGAAATACAGGTCTGGTTCCCCGAAGCATCATTGTTGGGGTAAGGAACAAAGACACTCCATGGACCCTTCAGAAGGCACTGGTGACCCTGCCTCACTAAAGGCGACTTCTGCTCTAATCCTGAGTCCCTCAAAAATGGATCAGCATGGGGTGAAGATGGCCAATATTAGAAGCCATACCCACAGCAGCTGGGCTAGCGCCTGAGGCAGGCTATGCTGTAAGATAGACAAGGTCAAAACCAAACCAGCACACGAGGCTGCCCAGGGGAAGATGGGACAGAAGGATACACATACCCTGGGCTGGGATCTAACCCTGAAACTGAAGGAGACAATGGGTCAGACACAGAGGTCAGCTGGAAGGGAAGGAAGGGAATCATAACACCATTTATTGGCCAAAGAGGGTCACACACACCCAGAGGGTCACCTCTAACAGGGACACGGAAAGGATAATCCGACTCTGGAACCAGGAGAAGAGGGAACATTCTCCCTTCCCTAACCCTCTCCACGAGTCTAAGGACCCTGTGCAGAAAATAAGAGTCAGCACTCAGCCTTATGCCTCCTCGAAGTGGTGGAAAGGGGGCTGGGTGCGGCCACTGCTCCTGCTGGGCACCAGTTTCCCCAGGTTAGGGATGTCAGCTGTACTTAAAAGGCAGGGCCTTTTAAGACCCAAGGAACCTCAAATGCCCTAGAGAGGGGTGCCACGAGGATTGAGAGTTGGGTCTGCAGAAAATAAAATCATACTAATATCTTTAAAAATGTTTATGTTTGCCCGGCAGTGGCGGCACACATCTTTAATCCCAGCATTTGGGAGGCAGAAGCAGGCAGATCCCAGTGAGTTCAAGGACAGCCTGATCTACAAATTGAGTTCCAGGACAGCTATGACTGTTACACAGAGAAACCCTATCAGGAAAAAACAAAAAAACAAAAAACAAAAACAAAATGTCTAAGTTGGGACATATAAAAACAATACAAATCGGCATTGGTGGCACATGCCTTTAATCCCAGCACACAGGAGGTAGAGGCAAGTAGATCTCTGTGAGTTCCAGGCCAGCCTGGCAGTGGTGGCACACACCTTTAATCTAGCACTTGGGAAGCAGAGACAGGTGAATCTCTGTGAGTTTGAAATCAGCCTGGTCTACAAGAGCTAGTTCCAGGACAGGCTCCAAAGCTACACAGAGAGCTCCTGCCTTGAATAACCAAAGAAATAAAATAAAATAAAATGAGAATATGAGCAATGCCAAACCCACAAGAGACAAGGCAGACCCTTGTGTCAGGAAGTCAGGGGCCAGGATGAATGCACAGCTGGCCATCCTGCTAGTGCTGGTGGTAACAGTAGACGCCATAGCGGGTATGTGGGTCTGGAAAACCAAATGTCCGTACTCCAGGCTCAGGGGGCCCGCAGTTGGGACGGGGGTGAACTATGGGGTAGCGGGCACTTCCGTCTGCCAGCCAGCCAGCATCACAGCGATCCAGGCCGTGGAACTTCCAAGCAGCAAAGAGCTGGCCCACTGTGGAGATCTGTGCACCATCTTCCTGGCAGGCCTCTCTGGCCTCCAGCAGCGTCAGCTTCTGGGGGTGCTCCAGGTAGTACACCCACCCTGTGGGAAAGTGGGGCATGTGAGTGCTGTAAAGCAGAGGAGGCAGCAGGGTCTGTCACAGGGAGGGACTGCCCTGTGGAGGCACCTTTCCAGGCCTCATCCCACCACCACACCACCACAGGACCAGGGTTGCTCTAGTCATTTCTGCACTCCCCAGCTGCATTCTGAGTGGGCACCCACTAGATTGGACTAGTCTCTCACCTGCCATTTACTGAGCATCTACTGTGTGAGCACCTACTACGTGCCAGCAGACACGTTTTTTAAATAGCTGAGGATGACCTTAAACTTGGACTTCACACATACACACACACACACACATACACACACACACACACACACACACACACACACACACACACACACACACACCGCCTCCATCTCCCAAATGCTGAGGTTGCACTACAATGCCCAGTTCAGGAGATACTGGGGGTAGAACCCATGTCTTGTACACACCAGGCAAGAACTTCACCAACCAAACTACATTGCGGCCCTGCAAGTATTTTTGTTTTGGTACTGAACACTTTTCTGTTTTCACTTATTTTTCAATGAATGAGAAAGGCATGGTTTGTCTGTGCTGACCCATAGCCCAGTACTCAGAAGATGTCTGATGAATGAATAACCAATGGCAGCCATGACGCATCAAGAGCAAAGCAGTGAGAACTGTTAATGCTTCAGACCTCAACTTGCAGATGACCATCAGGCAGGCAGGTCTGTGCCGGACCATTCCACTCACCCTTGAGGGCAGCCGCGAAGCAGAACACATCATAACAGTGCAGGTGGTGGTGGCGCTGGCCATAGCTGCGAACACCAGGCGCCAGGCCAAGGCCTCCACAGGATTGCCGAGGCAGTGCTATAGGGTATTGCACAGAGGCATCCTGCAGCCAGCCTGCGTTGCACCAGTCCAGGCCCTCCTCCCAGGCACGGAAGAGCTGCTCAAAGGAGGCCACCACAGCATCCTGCTCCCAGCAGGCCTTTTGGGCCTCATGGAAGTTGAGCTGGTAGCGCCCTTCGCGGGGTTGGTAGGGAAAAACCACGCCTAGAAAGGAAGGAAGGGCTCAGAGGGGTCAGAAGGAGGAAGCCAAGCTCCCCACCTCCACTGGGATGCATTCTACATCCAAAATGCACAGACACTGTTGCACCCATCCTCAGATAACTCAAAACCTCCAACCGCCTGTACAAGGTCTAAGTCCCAAGGTGAGTCTTCCCTTGCTACTTACCTTCCTCCTAGAACTGAGCAGAGTTCCCAGAAAATACATACTGGCTTGTGAGGTAATTAATCCAACAAGTGATGTCTCCAATTATAGAATAGGATAGAAGATGAGGTCACCCTCCCCCTGCCCAGCCCTATGGGAATCTGTATATAAAACAGCACTATCTACTCATCCTCTAATATATTTTAAATTAACTGTAGACTGCTTAAGATCCTGACACATGTCCACACATCACTTCATTCCCATGGTTCTGCACAGTACTTGGCCTGCAGTGAGCTCAAGGTTTGGTTTTTGAAACTTTCTGCATTTGAGACACAGGTGCATACTTTTGACTTATGAGTTGGTCTATTTCTCTGTTTGTTTGTTTGAGGGCATGTGCATGAAAATCAAGGGACAGCTTAGGGCAATCAGTTATCTCCCTCCACCATGTGGGTCCTGGGAACTGAACTCAAATTGCCAGCCCTGTGTCACAAGTGTTGTTAACCATTGAACCATCTCACCAGCCCATTCAAATAGATTTAACTTTGTAGTGGAGGGACCACAGATAGGAAAGGCCAACCATATGTGTCATCAGTGCATTAGTGTGCAAATTCCTTGGGGGGGGGCCTCTGTGTTCAGTGGTCAACTTGACACAAACTAAAGTCTGAGAGGAGGGAACCTCAATTAAGAAAATACCTCTGTAAGATCAAGTTGTAGGCAACCCTGTAGGGCATTTTCTTAATTAGTGATTGATAAGGGAGAGCCCAACCCATTGTGAGTGTTGCCATCCCTGGGCTGGTAGTCCTGAGTTCTCTAAAGTGAGCAAGCCATGGAGAGCAAGCCAGTAAGCATCTCCCCTCCATGGCCTCAGTATCAGTTCCTACCCCCAGGATCCTGCCCTGTTTTTGAGTTTCTGTCCTGACTTCCTTCAGTGATGAACAGTGCTGTGGAAGTATAAGCCAAATAAACCCTTTCCTCAGGACTTGATTTCTGGTCATGATGCTTTATTGTAACAATAGAAACCCTAAGAAAAGGACAGAGTTTTGTGTAACCCAAGCTGACCACAAACTTACAATCCTCCTGCTTCAACCATCCAAGCACTGAGATTACTACAGTCATGAGCCACCAAGCCTGGTTTCTTAGGCAGAAATTTCTTAGTAAAACAAAAGAAGCTGGGTGTGGTGGCTGATGCCTGTAATCCCAGCCCTTGGAGACTGAGACTGAGAAGTATCGTAGTGTAAGGTCATCCTGGCATACAGAGAAAGGCACACCTAAAAACTGCAGGAAAAAGGGTGGTGAAGGGTCCCTAGGTAAAAGGGTCCTGAGGCCAGGGGCACCCTGGGACAAGAGGCTCCTTCTTGGTGGCCTTCCTGACAAAGCCACATGTTCCCCACAAAAGTTACTATTCTAGCAGGGTGTGGTGGTTCACACTTGTAACCCCAGCACTCAGGAGGCTGAGACAAGAGGAGTACCATGAGCTCAAGAGCAGTGTGGCCCTCAGAGTGAGATCCTGTCTCAAAAACAAAAGCACTAATAAATCCACATATTGTTCATGCCTGGAATTTTACTTTATAGAAAGTTGAAGGTTCATTTTTGTTGTTGTGAGCTGGGTTTGAAACTAGGATTTCGTTCACACTAGATTCTCCACTGATGTATATCCCCAGCCAGTGTAAAGATTTTAAGCATCATTCGGTCCATATCCAGTCAGATGAATCAAGCCTTAAGGAACAAGGGAGACTAGAGGGCTCAGGAGGAGGCCCTCCTTGGCTTGTACTGCTTAGAAGCAGAACCTTGAAGAAACTTCACCCTGTACAGTCAGGCTGGTACAGTCAGGCTGAGGGAGCAGCAAAGCTCATGGGCCTCAACTGGATGGGGGGGGGGGTGTGTGCCTGGTCCTGCCCTAAGTTTCCATTCCTTGCAACCCTAGGAATGAGGAAAGTGTTGAGGAGTCCCTGTCTCTCTAAACTGGCCCTGATGACATTTCTTTCTGATAACCCAGACTTCAGAATGAGCCCTTCTGAGTCACCAGTTAGGACCCGCAGAAGCAGAGATGCTACAGACTCAGGGCAATCTTTTCCAGGAGGCAAGTTCACCCTCTGCACTAAAAGCAGGTAACAAAGGAACTGCCTTTACTTGCCTAATCATTGTCTTGTCTGTACTTGAGAGACCCAGGGCTCCAGGGATGAGCCCTGTGCAGGGGCCAAGGTTGGAGTGGGCTAAGACGAGGTTCGAGGAGGGAGATGAAGGCATGCTGCCCCACCCAAGACACAAAGGAGTCAGAACAACGTAGAGATCTCAACCTGGATCAGTGACAAAATATTTACCTCGCATGGCCAAGACCCTGGGTTCTTATTCCCCCACCCCACCCCCTACACACACACATACACACACTCACTCACACAATATCATGCTTAAAATAAATATGAAAATCTAACAGCAACAGGCTTGCATTCTGAATCGGCATTATAACTAGCCTGAATTAAATGGTTTTCTTTACACAGGATGGAGTTCAGCAGTGCAGCCCAGGCTCCACAGTCCCTTCTGTCACCCATTGGCCCTGCCTTGTTCATCTGTCTTGCTGACTAACCTCAGTTCTGAGTCCAATGAGCTGTGGAGCCAGCTCCCATTCCCTCTTTCTGGACAGGGCTGAATGAGAAAGAATAGGGGGCAGTGGCTTCTGGAATTTGCTCCCTGGGTTCAAACACCACCTCTGCCACCTATCAGCTACATGACCTTGCGTAAATTATTTGCCCTCTCTTCATTTCCTCATCTGGAGAACAAGAGTCGTGATGCTATAATAACTTCCTTTTAGGGTTGCTTTGAGACTTAGATGTGCTTACCTGTGCAAAATATAAAGGTCTATTCCTTCTCTGGGTCCTCTCCCCCTCCCTTGGGTCCCAGTGGCATCTGTCAGGGCCTCACCCCGAAGCTCCAGCTCTACCAGGCCACTCTCGTCCTCCAGCCCGTCAATGACCTCACAGCGGTAGCGCCCAGAGTCCTCCAGCCGCAGGTCCCTAAGCTCCAGCGAGACTTCTTGCAGTTGGCCCTGCTGCAGTTGCACTCGCCCTTGGTAGTCCCCGAAGGAGCGGTGCCTCTGCCCCATGGCCACTAGCACATCCTGCTCCGGGGATCCATTCTCTGATAGCTTCCACCACTTAACACGCACATGTCTCGGGATTGCCAGGGCTGGCTCATAGCGGTAGTGACAGGGCAGGGTCACATTGGCTCCTGGGTGACTGAACAAGGACTCCTCAGTCGTCTCCACCACCAACTTCACTCCATTGAATAGGCCTGGGGGCAAGGTGGGGCACAGATGCGCCAATGGTCTTACAAGGATCGCCCATACCCTCCTCCCAAGCCCCTCCAGACTCATGTGTTGCAGGATGCAAAAAAAGCCACCTGCCTCCCCTCCAAATGCCTGCTGCTCCACACCTCCACATATCCACTACCCAGCCATGTACTTCCACTGATCTGTGTGTGTGACGGCAAACACCTATAGGACGGCTGAGGCAAAAGGGTTAACATTAGTATGAGACCTGCATGGACTACATGCAGTGAAACTCTGTCTCAAAAAAAAAAAAAAAAAAAAAAAAAAAACCAAGTACCATCAGTTCCTTGAATTTGTACTGGCCTTGCCATCTGCTTGCTGCTGGGATAAAAAAGGCAGAAATACCTGACCCACTGTCCTGAGGCTTGGTACCAGGAGCCCTTGTTGAGTCCACCTTCTCCAGGGACATTCATTGCCAGTCACTACATGCACAAGGCCAGCCTTGCCTGCCTAGAGCAAGACAGGCCATAGGAAGCAGAGTGCATCCTCCTTAGCTGGTGTCATCCTACACCAACCACCTGTGAGGTGGCCCTCTACCTAATAGCATGTCATCTGCAAGTCCTAAGATGGGACAGTTAGCAGACAAAGGGGACCTGAGAAAGAACAGGACCCCTCGCTCTCCTGCTTTGGATCTCTGACTCTGCCTAGCAGGAAGCAGCTCCACATCTCTGCAGGGGAACTATGCCTGCCCTCTCTGAGAAGCATCACCAAGAGATCAAAGAACTGAGACCAAGAGCCTCAGGCCTCTAATAACCACCCATGGGTCAGAGAGCAGCATGGGAGAGGAGGAGGAAAGGATGTGAGAGCCAGCAGAAGGGGAGGAGTTTTGTCTTCTGGACAGGACAAGGCTATTGCTCTCAGGAACTCACAGACACTGTGTCTACCTGTGGTCACCTGCACAAGATCAAGCCAGTCAGAATTCTGGCATAGATGCGGGAGATGATCTCCAGGCCCCACCCCCTACCAAGCAGATGTTGGCAGTTGTTGCTGGGGAAAGAGAGTCATTTTCCATTGAGGACATGGCCCTGAGAGAAATCCAGAGGACGGCCTCACACAGGATTACATTAACTGGACTTAATGGGGTATTTAAAAAAGTAGTCAGTATATACCTTTAATTTTAGCACTGGGGAGGTAGAGGCAGGCCAGTCTCTATGGGTTCAAAGCCAGCCTGGTTTGCGTATCATGTTTCACGCTGCTGTGGAGATATATTGAGACCATTATCCAAAAAAAAAAAAAAAAAAAAAAAAAAAGACATGAATTTGGGGGGGAGGGGCGACAAAAACGTTGGAGAAGTAAAGTGGAAAATAGATGTGATCATATTTCATTGTATATCTATATGAAATTCTCAAAAATAAAGGAAAATAGGGGGACCAATTTCTAAAAACAGCTATTAAGCCATGCCTCAACTCCAGCCTCCTTGTCTTCTTGTGACCCTTGTATACATGAGGGTCCCTAGGATCGATGCCTTTATCTCTACAAGCACTCCCTTCCCGAGCTGCAGGTGCTCAGGGTTCTCTTCAAGGACAGAATTCTCCTTGCAGACTAAACAAGGAGGTTGGCTGCTAGATCAGCACATCCCTTCCATAATATCTGGGCTCAGCTGTACTAGGTGGCTTCATGACTCCCAGATCCCATATTACAGCAACTGCTGGGATGCTCTCATAATAACCACACTAATACACTTGAGCTCATCTTATCCGTCTGCTTAATCAATGAACTCTGACCTGTCCTAAAATTCTCTTTGCTGCATAGTATGGCAATAACTGAGAAGACAGCCACTCCTACCCCAGCCCTCCCCAGCCCTCCCCAGCCCTCCCCAGCCCTCCCCAGCCCTCCCCAGCCCTCCCCAGCCCTCCCCAGCCCTCCCCAGCCCTCCCCAGCCCTCCCCCACTCCTATCCCACCCATACCTCTCCCCGCTCTTACCCCACACCTTCCCTCCCACTTCCACCTCTCCTCCTCCAAGACTCTGGGGGAGACTGGGGACAGACAGTCCCAAAGAGAAGTAGGCTGTAGGACCAGAAGAAACAGAGCTCACACCAAAGCACTGGGCCACAGGGCTGTTATTGGGTGTGCTGTTAAGCAGCCATGTTTGGGGTGGTTTGCTCTACAACAAACCATAACTGACAAGTAAGCGTGGTGGTTCCTGCCTGCAATCACAGATCTGGGAGGTGGAGACAGGAGAGTCAGGACCTCAAAGCTATCTTCAGCTACACAGAGACTTCAAGGCTAGCATAGGAAGCTAGGCGTGTAGCTCAGTTAGGACAGCACTTGCTTACCACACACAAGCCCTGGGTTTCGTCACCAAAGCACATCAAAACCAGTGTAAAGGTGCACCTTTAATCCCAGCACTTGGGAGAGTCAGAAGGATCAGAAGTTCATGGCTGTCCCCAGCTATATATCAAGTTTGATGGCAGCACAAGCTATGTGAGTGTCATACACACACACACACACACAAAGCAAACAAAACAAAATAATAATAATAATTTTAAATGCTAGCTGCCATGACAGCCAAAAAGAACTTCGTCAAGGGACAAGACAGATACAACAGATACAGTGAGTGCCCTGCCTCACTGCCTGAGCCCCCTTCCTTCCACAATGGCCTCCACAGAACACCCTCCTTTTCACAGTCTGGGCCAACTGTCGACCAGGGCTGCTCCAAAAGACCAAGGCAGGAAACTGTCAGAGCTCAAGATTCAAATGGCAGAATTCCCTGAGCAACAGAACTAGGTTGATAAGGTGGAAGTCACTGCAGTGACACAGTGACTATTATCTCAAAAGTCCCCTGCCCAACTGGGGTTGGAATATAAAAAAAAAAAAAAAAAAAAAAAAAAAAAAACCAACAATAAAAGTCCCCAGCCGGAGGCCACCCAGGCTAAACAGGTACAACTGATACATCTCTGTGACTCCAGTGTCCCTTCTGCAGGAGAGACCCGGGGTGGTGACACTTGGGATGGATCTCAAAGATCTAGCTGTTCTCGGAATGAGGGCCACCCCAAGAGAACTTGGTCCCCTGTCTATGGTGCCAGCAAACTCAGAGTATCTAAACCTTCTCATCCCATCTTAGAAGCAAGGCTGATCCACCCTTGGAGTCCCAGACAGGGAAGATCCTGCTGTCTCCACCCCTGCCTGAGACTTACATATCACATCAAGAGCTGGGAGACAGGCCTAGAAGCCACCCACCTTCCCCATAGCCACCACCCAGGGTCTTGCTATGCAGGCCACTGGAATAGTAGAAGCCATTGTAGAATGGAAGTCCCCAGACGCAGGAAAGTGGCAGCAGCAAGACAAGGAACAGCAGGCTCATCCTGGCCAGGATGGTGGCAGTGCCAAGGTCTCTTGAATGAGGCTGGACCCAAGGGCAACTACAGAGAGAAAGAAAACAAGCCAATTACAGAAGCCCCACAACAGCAATCTGGGACTCCCCCGTTTGTGCCCTCCCGCACACGTGCTCAACTGTACATCATAGAACAGCGCCACTTGCCAGGTGCTGTCCTCAAAGCGCAGTGGTCAGCAAGAACAAGCTAGAAGAGGTGTCCACTTCATAGGGGAGAACTATATCCATGGGCAATAAGCACGAGAGAACACCCAGGCAGTTAGAATCTCCAAGGTTATGAACAGCACCTTTTAAGGAAAACAGAGGAGACCAGAATAGAACATTCCAGGGAGGATTTCATGTTTAGCAACAATAAGTCTGTACCACAAAAACTTGTTTCAATACAGAAGTGTCTGTGTGGGAGGCCCATGACAATGTGACATTTATTTTTAAGAGTTCAGCAGGGTCAAAAAGCATTTGAGGAGTAAGATCCTCATTGGGTAAAGACATTGCCTGTGCAGATATGAGTTCAACCTCTGGAAGCCATAACCTCCAGAAGATGGAAGAGAACCAACTCTACAATATTGTCTAACCTTAACGTGTGCTCTGTGATGTGTGCATATAAATATTTTTTAAGAAGTGAGGTTTTTTGGGGGGGTGTTGTTTTATGAGACTGGTGTGCTCCCTCCTGTGCTAATGAGGCTCCTTAGGTTGTTATTTTGAAGAGTAGTTAGTGAGCTTGCCACAGAGAAAGATCTTAAACTCTTAATACCCTGCTTCTACCTCTAAAAGTCTTAGCAAAGTATGACACTTTAATATATTTTAAAAACAAAACAAACTACAGCCGGTAGGCCAGCTGCCTTCCTTCCGAGGGCCTACCTACATGGTTCCCCAAATGCTGTTTGTGCACATCTATAATCCCAGCACCAGGGAGATGGAAGCAGGGGGATCAGGGGTTCAAGGCCATCCTGGATCACATATGCAGTTTGAGGCCAACCTGGGCTACATAAGACCCTGTCTAAAGATGGGAGCATCCAAAGGAATATTGAAGCTGAGCAACTTTCAGGGTGGAAAGGACAGAATGATCCTAGTAGGGCACAGGCATCACAAGGTACAGAGGCCAGGGACAAGCATGAGGAATGCTCTCTGTTTGTTCCCATGCATCACCAGGTCCAGTGGCAGCACATATCCATCCCTGTGGGTCACTTGTCCTGCCCACTTCCAGCTCCATTTATTTAGTCAGTGGAAAGCACTGGCAAGAAGTGGGAGAAAGAAGACAGTATTTCTTCCCCGCTCCCTCCCTGATCACATCCTCTTAAAGGGATAAAATGTTCTCTGTTTTATGCCTATCATTGCTCTCTAGAAGTGATCCCTTGATTGAAATCTCCCTGTTGCAATCATCTGGAGTGAACTCTGCTTCCTGTCCAGTCCCTTACTGATGTGGGAGAAGGAGTGAATAGTCAGCAGGGACTCCCAGTGCCTTGGGAGGAGGTGAGCCTGATGCCTACTCTCTGTTCTGATAACTGCAGATGCAAGCTTGAAGTAGATGAGTTCACATCTCAGGAACACCCTTCTGGAGGCAAGTAGGAGACAGGCAGGCAGAAGGCAGGCTTCTGTGTAGCAAGAGCAGAGTGCCCACAGGCCCTTTGCAAACAGAACTGTATGATTATTGTGGAGGAATGTGGAAGGATGCTCAGGGTGTCATTTGTGACAAAGCAAAACACACAATTGCCACATTGATTGCAAACATGTGGCCTTATGAGAATGTCTGTGTACAAGATGAGAGGAGGCAGGGGCTCCGAAGGAAGGGAGGAGCTCAGGAGAGACAGAGGAAGGGAGGAAGGAAGGAAAGGAGGGAGGGGAGGAGGGAGGGAGGGAGGAAAGGAGAGGAAAAAGGGGGGAGAATGCAAAGCAAATATTGGCCTGTGAGGGTGACCAGACTCTAAGGGAATGTTGTTGTTTACAGAGTAATTAGTTCTTGCTGGAAAGGAGGAGTGGGTGCAGAGAGAGCTGAGGTTTGAATTCTCTCTTCTTCCATGTACTTGCAGAAAATCTGAGGTCTAAACTTAGTTACTGTGCTATACACCAGAGTCGGGACAGAGGACAGGACTTTGTTGACTCAACAAAGCCTCCTAATCAGGAACCGGAAGATCCCACTCTCCCCTAGGACCCACTGTTCTTTACTATGTGACTCTGAGCAATGTCTGCAGTGGTGAGGTGGAGATCATAACCCTCACCAAGTGTACTTCTCCATAGCAGGCCCCAGTTTGCTCCTACACTGCCAGGATTCTAGATATGGGCAAAACATTATATGAGCAGAAGCAGCCTGTGCAGTGTCTAGACCTTTAGTGAGGCCTAGTGGAGAGGCCATATCTTGATGTCCTTTCTCCAACCCCAACCTGCCCGTTCCACAGCAGCTAAACGCAGAGGTGAGACTCACAGCCACCCTGCAGCCTGAGCATTCTCTACCTACAACAGCTCAGGAGCAAGTACCCTTGAATTTAAGCCGCCACACATTGAGTATTTGTGAACGCAGCTCAGCCTCACTGTGTTAAAGGCCCTCACTCACTTCACGCTGTGTTCGAGTGTGACACAAACTCATAAGCTGTGTGTATAAATACTTGGTCCCCATTAGGTGATGCCATTATCGAGATTGTGGAATGCAGCCCAGGCACAAAATCAAATCACAAAACTTACTGAAAACATGAGATCTGGGAATTTGCTGTACCTTATGTGCACAGGTGGCCATGGAGACCACAGGTGTGCTAGATCTCCTATAGCAGGAGTTACAGGCGGTTGTGAACCACTCAATATGAGTGCTAGGAACTGAACTCAGGACCTCTAGAAGGACAAAAAGTGCTCTTGATGTCTGAGCCCTCTCTCCAGCCCTATGCCTTTTTATTTTTCATATTTATTTTTTCTATTATTTGATTGTGTGCTTCTCAAACAAGAACTATGTAAATGACCAAGTCATGTTGCAATGTCAAAAGGTGAGACACACTTGCGCTGGTCTTAGACGGAGGAAGTGGGATTGTGGAGAGTGACCCACCCTAGCCCCCCCCCCCCACATTTGTCTACTTACCAAGATACCAGGAACAAACAAGCACAATTACCTCCTACAAGGTGATGACCAGTTACATCATATTTCCACTGCTCCCGTCACTCCCGTCATGCCATCCTCACTATGGTAGACTGTATCCCCACAAACCATGAGCCAGTCCCTTCCTCCTTAAAGCTATTTCTTGTCGGGTATTTGGTCACTGCCTCAAGGAAGAATATATACAAGTTCCTAGACTAACAGCAAAAGCAGCCAACTTTCATGAGCGCTTACCATCTCACTGAGTCCTCACTACAACTTATGAGGTTATCAGTGTCTTTATTTGTTTATTTAATGTATTTTTGAGACAGAGTCACGTATATCCCAGGCAGGTCTTGATATCACTATGTATCCTGACCCTCTTGCCTCCACCTTCCAAGAACTGGGGGTTACAGGAGTGCTGGGGAATCAATATAGGGCCTCGTATGCTAAGCAAATGCTCTACCAAGCTATGTCCCCAGCCCAATATGTGTGAACCCACAGCGACTCAATTTCCATCTTGACTTAAGGTCAGAGAGTTCAAACTTATTCTTGCCAAAGGTGTCACTACTTGATGCCTTGATCTTCAAGACCAAAAAACACAGGAGTTTTGACTTAGCACATGGTTACTAGATGTCTTGAGAATTAAGAAGGTTATTGTGCATATTTGTTCCTTGTATCATGGTAAGGAAGTCTTTGCCCTCCCCTTTTGCTTGGGGTATAAAAGGGCTATGAGAAATAAACTCGGAGGGCCCTCCCAACTCTATCTGCTGTCTTTCGTCTCTTTCTTTTCTCAATCCTCATTCCCCCTTTCAGTCACATTTGACAGGTCTGCTGGTACTGACACCAGTATTCCTGCTTTACAAAGGAGAAAGCCAATGAAAAGACTGCCCAAGGCCATCCAACTTGGAAGTGTAGGTCAGAATTTAACTGGAGTCACCATGCTAAATGCAGTGAGAAGACTGTGGGGGAACACATGAGTACTGTAGAGCTCTCCCTAACAGTCATTTCCTTTCCCTTCCGTTAGACTTCAACTTGGAAACCAAGAAGGAAACAGGCTGAAGCGTCAGAGGCTTGTGGATATAGATAGAACTTGGTGGCCCTTGGCCACCCCAGCCACTGACCACCCTGGCCCCTTAGCAGTTCACATGGTAGATCAGTTGCCTGATATGCCAGATGCCCTAGATTATTATCCCCTCTTCTATATTGCGTTTTTAAATTCAGTATTGTCTTGGCATTTCTTCATCATATTCCTGGTTTTATTAGACAGCTTCAGGGGCTAAATTCCTTTGAGCCAGTCACATGGGTCTGCTATCCTCACCTTCAGCCAGTATCCTTAAGTTGTGATGATGAAAGTTGATTTGGGCATTCAGAGTAGCAAGGATTCTGAAACAACCCCATCTGTTTGCTTCCTGAGCTCTAGACAGTGACCCCCAAGTGTCTGGGTGATGAGGCACACCTGTGGATATACTGAATGAAGTCAGGTGCCTTCATCAGAATTCACACAACAAACTGCTCAACAGTCAGAAATCTCCATACAGTCAAGAATTGGGGAAAACTGCTGCCAAGTCAACTCAACTCTCCATTATACTCACTTTGTCCCCTTCAATCCTTCAATAATGGAAATACCTGGAATTCCCTCCAACACCACAGAGTATGAGTTCCCAAGGCTGGCTCTCCCAGCCTCAGAGACGCTGGCAACACTCACAACCTCCAGCCTTGGTCCCAGACTAGCTCCCTGGATTTTAAATGAACTTCTACATCTAGCACCTCCTACAGCCCTCCCAAGAGGCCCCGCATCATAATTTTAAAAAATAATTTTATTCTCTCCATTTAATCTGCAAGTGAGCCAAGACCCAGAGACATACATACCCAAAGACCACACAGCCACGAAATGACAGAGGTAGGATTCTTTTTAGCTGCTGTGAATTATAAGCTGTCCTTCAACTGTCTGTGCATCTCCCTAGCCACAGTTACACACACCAGTGTCAGGATCATCATCCCCATTGAACAGGCAAGAAAACTGAGGCTCAGCAGTGCCAAGATGCATGCCTAAAGTTACTCTTAGGAAGATGAAAGAGCTGAGATCTGACCTCATTTCCTTAACAAAAATTCTCCCATGCAGCTGCCACAAGCTAGGTGGAGTTCCAGGCAATAGGGATGCTAAACAGAGTGCTCCTGCACTTCACAGTCTAAGAAAACTAATGGCAGGCACAGATGTGCCTGCAAATGATAGGGGAAGATGGAGCAGGGGGACAGGTGCTTCTTTACTTTCAAAATAAGGCCTCCCTCATGTAGCCCAGGCTGCCCTTGAACTCTTCACATTATTGAGGGCAACCTTGAACTTCTGACCCTCCTACCTCTACCTCTCGAATGCTGGGATTATGGATCTGTGCCACCATGACCAGTTTATGGGGCACTTGGAACCCAGGGCTTTGTTGAATGCTGGGCAAGCATTCTACCAACTGAGCCAAAGTCTGTGAGCCCTGGGTATTCTTGACCATAAGTCAGGAAGACAGTTGAGAAGACCGGAGCCTTGAGAATCCTGGGAGAAGACCGCTGCAGGGAGAGCTAATGGCAGGAAGAGTTCAGAAACCACAACCCCAGAGAACTTAGGTAACAAAGAGGACCCTGAGAGAGACATATATGGATATGCCTAGGAAGGAGAAAAAGACAAGATCTCCTGAGTAAATTGGGAAATGTGGGGGGGGGGGAGTGGAATGAGAGAGGGAATGAGGAGGAGAGTGGGGAAAAATGTACAGCTCAATAAAAATAAAATAACAATTAAAAAAATAAAAAGAGTTCAGAGTCCAAAGGGCCTGGGGTCCCAGGGACATTAGGAAGCGATGTCCATATGGAGGGCAGAGGCTCTGTCACACTTTCCCTTAACTTTTTAAGAAGGAAGACATGAAGAATTATCAGAAGAGGTATGGCACACATCTGATTTACTGTCTCCAAAGGGTGGCTCTGGGAGATTAGATGATGTGCATCATCAAAACCCTTCCACACAAACACAAAAACAGCCCCTCCCCAGCCCTTCTGACCTCAGCTGCCCTGAGCACCCAACTCCATTTAAGCCTGACTTTATTAGCACTATGCAGGTGGCAGGTGTGATGCTAGCCCTGCAGTTGTGCATCCTTCTACCAGGAAGGTGCCAGGACAAATAAGTTAGCAAGAGAAGATGTGCCCTGTGCCCAATAACCACTCGGCAGGGGAAAAATCATAAAACCCTAAGATTTAAGTTAGACTTCATGGCTTTGAACCCTGGCTCTGCCACCAGCTGGGTGACTCTGAGCAAGTCATCTGGACTCTTGGAACAAAAGCCCTCCACCTTCTGAGCACACTGAAACTTAATGGCTGAAGACATGGGCAGCCCCCAAATGCTAAGGTTAACCACAGAGCAGAAGCCTGGGTGGGAGTCCAAAGCAATGTCTAAGCCCCTCTATCACTAATGCACCTCGGTTGTATGCCACCCTATCTCAGGCAGTTATTGAGCCATTGATAAGTATTAGCTCCCTAAACACCAGCAGAGGGCAGGATTGCCCCCCAGATACATCAGGCTAGTTCAGGAAGGTATTTGACATCAATGCCCCAATAACAATCAGGTTTTTAATCAAGCCTTTGAAATTCTGCCATCACCCGTCAGGTTCTGGCTGAGGCAATAGAGGGGCGTTTTCCTCTGGCATTCCAGGCCTCCTGGTGCAAGTCTCTGGAGGGAGGCAGAGTGCCTCGGGTAGTCACCCCTCTCTCACAAGACAGAAGCATTCCCTGGGTCAGCACTAGGGGGGTTCTTTACCAAACAGGATCACTGGCAGCCGGTGACCACCCAATGAGCTGGGAGTAGGGCTGGGTCCAAGTGCCTGCGCCTCTCCTTCCTGGCCTCCTCCATAGGAGAGGCCAGCTTGCACCCAGGGTTTGCCTCCGTGCACTCCTGTCCCTAGGGCAGGCACTCCAGGTGCTCGCCAGGACAAACCTAAGTTTGTCCCCATATGTTCAGAGTGGACTAAAGGCACACATCCTCAGCCCATCCCCACGCAGGTTGTTCCCAATTCCCACTCCCTCCTCCCACAAGAGTCTCTCCGGTGGCTCCCGCTGCATCCCACAGATGCCTGAAACTGAGCTGGTACCGACCCACTGTGACAGTGGGAGCAAGGCAGAAAGCGACAAACTTCATTATCCCCAGTGCTCACTGTGGTTTTACCTCCTGGTGGCTCCCAAAAGGGTCGCGCGCGAGTCAGCCCGTAGGACTGATCACATGACAAACTCCTCAGTTCCCAGTCCCCTCTGCCCGCTGTTCCCCGTCTCCTACCCCCCCCACACACACACACACCCTTCCCGGCAACCGCGGGGTCCCCTCGGTGGGAAGGGAGAAACTTGCATGCACAGAGCCCCAGACTGCAGCCACCACAGCCACGTGTACCGTTCCCAGCAGGCTCTTCAGCGACTCAAACGCTTGGGGCCCCTGAAGACACGCTGAGGCCACAGGCTGTCCAGGTCTGAAGTAGCAGAAAAATCTGGGATCTTGAATGGCCCCAAAGGAAGCAGTTTCCAACAAACCTTGCACTCCCGGCGGACCAACCCCTTAAAGGTACACAGTCCCTTTCCCTCCTGGCCCCCAGGGAGCAGCAACTGTCAGAGCTGGAGTCCAGACCCCAAACCTGGAGCTGCAGGCTGACCGGCTGACCGAGTTGTGAGTATAAAAGCACATGTTGGGGAAAGAGTTCAAAGGGAGGAGGCACAGAAATGTTTGTAGAGGTGGGAGGTCCCATTAAAAAGCCTGGGCTTCTAAAAAAAAAAAAAAAAAATCTTAAGCACTCTGGGGTTGGGCTGTGACTGCACCACACGGTTCAAAAGGAGTTTAAGTAATGCTTGTCTGCTTCCTGTAGAATACTGAGTGGTGTCAACCTGCTGTCAGAGCTAGTGACACACCTAGACCTGTCCCTAGGAGGCCCTGGGGTGGGGGTGAGCAAAGATAGGATGTGGCACTCCTCTTGCAGGGCTGCTAACAAATGTCCCATAGGCATCCATTTCTCGGGATGCTTCTGTTTGGACAGCATGTTTTCTTTCCTGTCTGCATGGCCTAGCTGTTTCCTCAGCAGGGAAACCTAAGAAGGTCCTTCAGCCAGGGCTAAGAGCAAGGCCACAGGGTCAGGAGGCCAGGCTTTTCTAACACACCTCTAGATAGCCTCGTGTGTGTGTGTGTGTGTGTGTGTGTGTGTGTGTGTGTGTGTGTGTGTGTGTGCCAAATATAAACCAAACCAAATCACAGCTTCTGTTTAGTGCCTCTAAAGTGAATACCTGGCCTATATGCCAAAGGGAGCTGTGAAGGTTGCCCTGCAGGTTAGGTAGATGAAGCTATCCCTGGATGGAGAGACTGATACAAACAAGACACGACTACCAGTGAGGGCCTCCCACAATCCGCTGGGGCTGTGGATGGGCCAGGCTTGGCATGAGTGCTCTCTGCACACTCTCCTTTAGTTCCAGCAATGTCACAGACTCAGCCTTCTTTTTTTCCATTTTGTAGGTGACCAGAGGCCCAGTGTCACCCAGAGCTGGGATATGAACCATGTTTGTCTGCTTTGAGGAGCCTAGACCCCTGGCAGAGGCAGGGTAGGTGCTAACAGCCTCTAGTAGGAGCATCCTCGTGGTCAGCCGGAACGGTCTATTGTCACAGCAGGGTGGTCAGGAGGAAAAGAGAATGCCAAATGTGGTTGTCTACAGTGCAGACAGGAAAGGAAGAGAAAACCAAACTCAAAGTGAGGGACTCTGGGCTGGGATCCCAGAAAGCAGGCTTTCTCAAGGCTGCGGCCAACTACAAAGGTGGGAAAAGGGACCAAGCAACAAGCTTGGGCAATACTCATCTTCCACACCAGGTGGGGGTAGAGGGCTTGTGCTACCATCCACCCATCTGCCCCACAGCCCAGCCAAAAAGACTGACCCACAGAAATCGCTCCCAGGAGCCAAAGGCCTCCCAAGCAGTGTCAGAAAGGATGTGGAAAGGATGTGGAAAGGATGGTTTTCCCGTCGCCAGCTGGTCCCCAGGAAAGGCCACAGCAGGGCCTGGGGTAGTGACCTGAGGAGGGAGGACTGAGGACAAACCCCAGAAAGACTAGATTCTGAAATTCAATCCCCACAAGTCCGGTGGAACGGGCGGAGATGTCCCTGGGGTTGAGCACATTCCCGTCCTTCTAGCATGGGGAGCACCACCACCGAGCCTCTCACTCTGCCCTACCCACAAGAAGCTCTGGCAACAGGGGGTCACTCTCAGAAGCAGCACTTCCGGTGAGTCTCTGATGTGCTTCCAGATACACCTGTCAGTGGATGTCCTTCCCCGGAGAGCACCGCAAGCCTGGCTGGGACACCAGGTGGTTTCATTCAGACTTCCCAGACAGCTAGCCACCCCTCCCCATACGACCAGGTCAGCACAGCTCCTACTGGCCACTTTCTTACAGCCCTGGACAGGGCAGAGGCCCCTTCCTCCTACCAGTGGCCTCTGGGAAGTGGCATGCTCTTAACCACAATCTCTATTTGGTGACCTTACCCCTTCCTGTCCTTCCACACTGCTCCCTGCCCAGCCCACCAGTGCCCTCTTTCTCTGAATGCCAGGCTTGTAGGGTTTCTAAAAACTTCTCCAGGCCAGCACTGGCATTACAAAGAAAATGGAAACTGCCAAAGAAGCCAGTAGCCAGGCCTGAACCACCTTCTTAGTGTGGGCAGGGGGCATTCACAGGCACCTCGGATCTGCCAGGCCCTCCGGGCCCTTCACCAGGTGAAGGCCAGACCCAGAGCAGTATGGAGATAGAGACAGGGAAAGATGTGATTCTGGACTGGAGGAGAGAGAAGCCTACTCCTAACCCCACCCCATCCCCAGTCTCCCACTCCCGCTCTCAAGCTATTTTCAGCCTGGCAAGTGACGTAAGAGTATTGGGCACTGGAGGACAGGGGTAGGGAAGGGGGCAGAGAACAGCAGTCTGGCATGGACAAGAAACACTTAAGTTCTGGTGAGGAACACAGTGTATTTTGGAGTCTGCCTCGAGTAGCAAGCCAGCAGAGGCCCCACAGCCAGCTAGCCAACCAGCCAGAGCCTGCCTGCCTCTCCAGTCCCAACAGTACCCTTGTCATCTGGGGCTCCAGAGCAAGAGTCAAGAGGGGTCTCAGGAGATAAGAGATAAGGTGACCCAAAGGGTAGCAAGCAGGCATGGGCCTCCTGGAGGCCTGGAATGGAACACGGAAGAATGTGTGGTGTGCAGAGAGGGACAGGAAACCAGAGGTCCCTTTAGTCTTGAGTCAACCCCTGGCAGGGAGGTTAGGACTTGGGGCAATTGGTAGAGAAAAGGTAAAGTCCACATACCCGGACTTTAGTTTTCTTCCCCATTCATCTCAGACCCATCCAACTCCCCAGAATGCCTGAGAAAAGGGGCTCAGCAGGAGGCCTGTGGAGGCTGCAGGGCGAGGAAAAGGTGAAGGGCAAGTCTGGTACCCTATCTCCCCTCCTGCCTCCAGCCTCAGTCCAATCAAGAGGAAGGGCTGAGAAGGCAGCCAGCCACAGAGGCAGCAGGCCCGGGAGGCAGGGGGGGCAGGGAGGCCTCAGCCTCTGGCCCTTCAGGTCCTTTGGGCTGGAAGGACTGAGGACTAACAGCCTAGCAGCTCCAGACGCAGAGTGATGCGTTTATGCCAGGACACAGGAAGGACACGCACGTAGCGAGCCATGAAGGGCGTCTCAAAAATGTTCTTCTTGTGTGAGTTGTTGTCCGAGTTGCCTTGGAAGACCTGAAAACAACAGGCATGTCAGGAGTACTCCATAGTCTCCCCCTCCCCACCCCTCAGAACCCTGCAGTATCCCAGGAATTGCAGCTAGACGGGACACCCACCTTGTCTGTTCCTTGTTCCTTATATATGGTCCACTGCACACCGTCATTGCTGTGGGACACCTTGTAGGATGCCACATACTGGACCTGGCCAAAGTCACGGGCCCCCTGGGTGATGATTCCTGTCACTTGCCTCGGAGTGCCCAGGTCAACCTGCAGAAAAAACAGGGTTCTAGCTTGGAGCCTCTTCAGGAAGGGGAAAGGGGCAACATTAGGGCACGACCTATCAGCCTATTTCCTCTTAAGTCAACTTGACATGCTAGTTATCTGAACGCAGGGAGCCTCAGTTAAGGAAATGGCTCCATAAAATCCAGCTGTAAGGCATTTTCTCAATTAGTGACAGTTGGGGGAGGACCCAGCCCATTGTGGGTGATGCCATCCCTGGGCCAGTGGTCCTGAGTTCTATAAGAAAACAGGATGTGTAAACATAAAGAGCATGTCAGTTAAGCAGCATCCCTCCATGGCCTCTGCATCAGCTCCTGCCTCCAGGTTCCAGCCTGTTTGGGTTCCTGTGCTGACTTCCTTCCAATATGGAAGCGTAAGCCAAATAAACCCTTTCCTCCCCAACTTGATTTTTTGGGTCATGGTGTTTCATCACAGCAATAATAATCTTAACTAAGACACTCATCTATAAAGTGAACATAAAGCCATGCATGGCTTTATGCCACCTGTAGCCCTAGCGCTTGGGAGGCCAGCCTGGGCTAAATCGCAACACCCTATCTCAAATTCTCAAAATGGGATATAGTTCAGTGACAGAGCACTGGTCTATCATACCCAAGCCCTGAGTTCTAACACACAAATGCAACATAAAAAAATATATAAAAGTGCATAAATAATACACTTGAACACATGAACTCCAGCAATCCAGTTTAACGCCAATAAAGCTCAGTGACGTATATTTCAGAGGTCCGGGCCTGGCCAACTCAGCAGCTCAGATGTACACTGGGGTATAACGGACAGGCTGAGAGAAGACAGGCTGCAAGGGGCGGGAACTGCTTCTGAAACCTGCCAGGGGTCCTGGAGCCTGATGTGGTCCTGAGACAGAGCCCAAGGAAACGAAGTCCTAATGAGCACCCTGGCCTATAGTCAAGTGTTTTCCCCTGGCCCTGCCAGGACTCAGTTTCCCCATCTGCAACCCTGACCTCTGGTTTTCACCCCCTCTAAGATTTCCCACTGAGTGCTTTGCTCAAGGGGTGAGGTCCTAAAGTGCCATCTGAGAGCCATCCTGCCCGCTGTCCCCTGGCAAGCCTTGCCAAACATGTATGTGGCAGCTGATAGGGATGGAGCTGCTCCCGAGAGTGTGAGTGCATGCATGTGTGCATGTGCACATTCACACCCCTTTTCCACTCGGGGCCTTGGTGGAAGCAGGATCAAGAGGAAAATGGAAGCATGGGAGTTAAAAAGAGAAAAAGCAAGAAAATGTAGGCTTTCCAGGAACAGGCATTGCAGAAGAGGAGGCCGGGCTAGCAGAGGTCGCCAGTCCCACCCACTCCCACCTGCAGCCACTCCTTGTTGCTGTTAGTCTGGGCAGTCCAGGCATTGATCTTGCCCTGCATGTCGAGCCTCCCATAGTGGGGGTACCAGCCAAAGGCACGCAGGTTCCAAGTCTTGTAGCTGCTGGAAGCTGTGATCTTGCTGTCGGGAATAGAGTTATTCTTCAGGCCCAGGGGCTCAGAACATCCTGTGGGCAAATGGGAGTGTTACCAGTATGTGCAGACACGGACAATAAAGGAGAAAGGGCTGTGGTTCCTTAGCAGCGTTTATTTTGGTCCAGTTTGGGTTTGGTTTGGTTTTTGAGACAGTATTTCATATAGCCCCGGCTGGCTTAAACTCACTGTGTAGTCGAGGACGACCTTGAATGTCTTGTCTGATCCTCACCTGCACCTCTAGATCGAAGGCATGCCCTGCCACCCCCAAGTTATGGGGGACAGAAGCCGCAGCTTCTTCTAAGCACTCTCACGGAGTTACAAGCCAGCTTCTGGTTTTGTCTTTTGAGCGGAGTCTAGCTCTATTTCCCAAACTGGCCTTTAAACTCCTAGGCTCAAGAGATTCCCCCAGTTTCCACAACAGCCAGGGTAACATAGAGAAACCCTATCTGGAAACTAAAGGAAGCTTCAGCTTCCAAAAAGCTGGGACAAAGCCATCATGCCCAGCTTGTTGCACAAAGGAAGTCCTACCTGCCTTCCAAGGCCAACCACTGTCTAGCCCTCAATTGCTCCCCCACTGTCACTCAGCTCCAACCCCTACCCCAACCCCAGCTGGCACCTAGAATTTCACCCAAGACTCCTGACCTGGACCTGGCCATACTCATAGCACTTTTCCCTCTGAACACAGGTAAGTCAGATACCTCACATGCCTGGGTGCTTCCTGCCATCGTGGATTTACTTTCAACACTGAACAAGGAGCTATCAAAAACCTCACTCTATACATAGATGTGAGGCAGAGAAGCATTGCACACTGTGCCCACATCTCACACGCACGATCCTGACCACAAATGCGGTATCATCCCTCATGTTAGACCCGTAAAGGCCCATATGGGCCCATCCAGCAATGTGTAGCAAACACTCTTACCCTACAACAGCTAGTGAGGCCCGGGGATTCTTGGAGTTGGGGCTGCTTCTGTATCTTCCCAAAAGCACTCCTTAAGATCCAGTAAAGGGACTTGGCACACCCCAACATTTCTAGCTTGCTGGTATGCATACCCAGAGAGAGCGTCCTTTGTTTCCTCACTCTGCCCCCAGGGTCACTCTCAGGAATGGCTGAACAGGTAAAGGTTGAGCAGGAAGTGAACTCCTAGGAGGATAATGTCTCTCTCATATCTGGCTGCCTCCCCACCCCACAACCTAAGGAGTTGAATGGGACAGGGAACCTGAAGAGCCACACTTCCATCTGGGAAGTCCATTCCCTCTATCCCTCAAATGCCTGCCTGTTACTTTCCCCCCAATCATGCTGACATGACTGCTGAGCCACCTTCTACAGAAGGCAGAGGCCAGGGGGGCATCATCCTGCTCCCACAAAGGTCCCTGGGCTGTGAGCTCATTCATCCTTTGGGTCCAGGACAGGGATATTCTGAGGTGGCCACTGCCTGGGGTTGCTTTGCAGAGACCACTCATTCTCCTCATCCCCTTGGGGTATACCCTGGACAACCACCCCTGTGTCCAGGGTCTCCTGGAAAGCAAACTGCAGATTATGTATGGCCTTGGGAAATGCAGAAATCCTTGCCCTCTCTGCAAGTCAACCTCTTCCTCCTCTGTGACACAGGGCCCTCTGCTGCTCTCCTCAGAGAACACAGGCAGTCTTACAAACAAGCAGGCCAGAAACGGTGTGCATTTCTGTGGTCCTAGCACTCGTCAAGCTGAGGCAGAAGAGGTGCACGATTAGGCCAACCTGGGCTGTATAGCAAGACCCTGTCTCAGAAACATTCAAGAGACGCCAGGGCGTATCTCAGTAGCAGAGTGTCTGCCCTGGCTTCGGTCATCAAACACTGGAAACGTGAAATTAAAAACCCTGTCCAGGGTAGAGCTAGAAGATGCTACTGAAACACTGACCCCTGTATTCGCCATCTCCAAGCCTCCCTGCACATGGAGCATCTAGCCCCTGCATCTCTGTTATCCTCCAACAAGCCCCACCTTTGTCCTTGTAATTCTCCACCTAGAACATTCTATGATCTCCCTGAGACCAGCTCTCCAGCTGAAGAATCCCCACACTGCCCCCATCACCACCACTCCCTCCTCCAGAGTTCTTGCTGCTAGCTGACCTTTGCCCTTTTATTTATTTTATTTGTCTGTTTGTTATATGTACCGTATTTATTTATTTGTTCGTGTGGCTAAGTGCATGTGTAAACAATGCATGTGTGTGCAGTACCCAGAGAGGCCAGAAGACAGCGCTGGACCCATCAGAACAGGCCTTACTCACCATGTGAGCCACCTGATGTAGGTGCCCGGAACCAAAGCCAGGTCCTCCAGAAAAGCAGCAGGTGCTTTTAACCGCTGAGCCATCTTGCCCAGCTCCTGACCTTCCTTTTATCTGCTAATCTCATCTCAACTCCCTTGAGAGAATTTCATGGGGTCAAAGGTCTCTCTTGTATTGTTCCTTAAATCTAGATATTCAGGGGAAACTTATGAAATGTCTAAATTAAAGTCAAGTCGGCAAAGATACTGTCTGCTAAAAGTAACAACCCTACTGTGGGGAGCCTTGTGTGTTCCCAAGACACCTGGGCCTCACTCCACCCACATGTGCATCAGCACTCTCCAGTTGACAGGCTGGGTCACAGAGAAAGGTGGGCCAGGCCAGGAGGGAACCAACGGCACAGTCTGCTCAGCAGTGTGAGGCTCAGCTTGCCCCTCTCTGAGCCCTAAAACACTCCCAGCTTCACTACCCTGGCAACTATGAGACCCAAAGGGCTATCTCTCCATCTGACTACTGAAACAATGGACACCAAGAAATGCAAGCTTCCCCAGGAACCCCATGCTGGGAGAAGAAAAGGGAATGAGAGGGGGAGTGTGCCTCCCTAAAAAAAGATTTTACACATCCTACCAGCTTGTCAGACCAGAGTGAGACAGAAGCCCAGACAACGATGAGTCAACAAACGGTGGGCGAGTCCAGGCCTCAAGACTGCTTAGATGTGCATGTCCCTGGCCCTCTATTTAAACTTTAAACTCACTTCAGGATCCCAAGATGGACTTGAGGGGATCGCTGGATCTTTCTCCATCTTCTCTCATATGGCCATTGACTAAATCTCCTCCTACTTTTTACTACTAAATTGGCTGTTTCAACTGGCTTCTTGAGGACAGGTGGCCAATTATGGCTTCCTATGGTACAGACTGTGACCCTAAGTTTGGTAATAATAGAAGCATACTAGCTTAACTCCATACTGTAGGGGGAGGGGACTGGGTTTACCAGCACAGGCCTTTAATCACAGCACTCAGGAGGCAGAGGCAGGCGGATCTCTGTGAGTTTGAGAACAGCCTGGTCTACAGAGTGAGTTCCAGGATGGTCAGGGCTATGTAAAGAGACCCTGTCTCAAAAAGCAAAACAAAACAAAAGAAGGCCATGGCTTGGGTATGGTTCGGTGGTGGAATGCGTCACTAGCATTCACAATCGAGCACTTCGGAAAAGGAAAAAAAAAAAACCTAGTGACGAGCAGAACTCAGTCTTGGTGGTATTGGGTGGTATCTAAAATGAACAGGAAACAGTGCCATTAATAGGGAAAAGAGGCACAGTCAGCAGGCTTACAAAGATGAGTTCTGCAGGCCAGCAGAAACAGCATTAGTTACCCCAGGTAACCAGCAGATGGCACTGTGGCTGCAAAGAGAAACAGGCCTCAAAAAAGACAGGTCCTGAACTAGATGGCAATCCGGAATCAGCTGGACCTCTTCAGAGGGTAATCTCCCTGGCTCAGCAACAACCTGTCCCTTTTTGGTCCCTCTTTGGTGTCTGAAGCACCTACATGACTGCTCAGTGAAGGTGGCAGATGCCTGAAGGAAAAGCACTATGCTTACACCTCCCAGGTGGTATCTTGGATGAATAATTCATTCACTCACTCATTCATTCATTCATTCACCCCTCATCAAAGATTTACTAAGCACCCACATGTTTGAGGCCCTGGAAACACAGCAACAAAGAAAACAATTCCCTGCAATCATGGAACTCACTGCCTGTTCTAGAAGCACCAGGAAACAAAATAAACAGAACTACTGAGAAGGGAAAAAGGCCCATCCAAAATGCCCAGAGCAATGGACTGGCAGACAGCACACAGCGCAGACACCTAGGCAGGACTATGTGGGCCACTCTCCACGGTAGTCCCCGAGCAGCTCACAAAGTCGGGGCAGAGAAGACCACGTCAGCACTCACCATTCAACTCACAGCCCAGGAGCTCGAAGCGAAGGGTGCAGGCTCGGTAGCACGAACCAGGGTACAGTCTGATGTACTGTGCCTCCAGAGAGGGACTGAACATGTTAACCTTCAGGCCATTGTTGTCCACGTTCCCCAAAAACTCCTGGAAGGGAAGGGGTAGGGCTGGAGAAGGAAACAGGTTTGCTGGCCGCTCCTGGGCATCTTCCTCTTCAGGCCCAAGAGGCCAGCATAAGTCTGGAAGGACAGAGTCCACAGGGACCCAGCCTACAGCCCTTGCTTTGCCACTACACCACCTTCAAGACATGTCCTTCTCACACCTCTCTTGGTCGCCACAGGTCCCAGGCATAAAACCCTGTTCACACAGGGCTAACCAGAGCACTTCTGCATGTGTTCTCAAAAGACTTCATGGTAACAATTTTCTAACAGACAGAAATACAGGCCTGTATGGTATCTGTATACCTGGTAATTGTATCTTCACAACTGTATACCGTCACCCTGAAAAGTTTGGAATGAAGCCCAGCTCTACCACTTACCAGATCATGGTACTACTATTAGGCGATATCTCTGTAACCAGAGAACATGAATACAATCTGGGTCTGTCCATTTCTAGGTACCAACTCAGCCCTATCACCCAAGGTGCTCTTGCTTCTCAGTCAATGCTAGACTCTTCTTAGGGGTGCTGACTTCAGTAGCCCCTTCTTTAGGCCCACCTTGTCTCCAGATCCACTTGCATTCTGGATAAACTGGAACTTGCGACCATCGAGGCTGTAAGCCACCTTGAAGGTCTGTAGATACTCTGCCTTCCCTGCACGGCTGGCACCCTGCGTGATCACGCCAGACACCCGCATCTTCCGCAGAAGGTTCACCTGGACCCCGGGTGAGAAAGGTGGTTCCCTCATTATCCAGTTCTTCCCATTCAAATCCAACCGTCTAGCTCATGAGTTCCTTCTCCAAGGAGCTGGCTTTCTCCTCTGAGGTTCTGTTCCCTGTCTCTACAAAGCCCTTGAGTGTCAAGACTCCCCAAAGGCCTATGGATACCCAAGCCCCTCCACCAAATAAGACCATCTCTCCTCATCCTCTGTCCACCTGCTACTGGCCCAAGGCTGCCCTCCATATACAGGCACTTCACTCATGGTCACCTATCATCCTTCATGGATCAGGTTCTGAGCCCCCAATGCATCTGCATTCACCTCTCTACCTTCCCAATCATTCTGCCCTGCATCTTCTTCCTACCTGGATCCAGGGCTTGCTGTCATAGTCACTGGCTGTCCATGCATTGACCAGCCCCGAGCGGTGCAGACGAGCCAACTCCGGGCCCCAGCGCTGAATGCCCAGGAAACCCACATGCACGGATGAGGCAGAAATCTGTGAGTTAGCAATGGCGCCCCCTTCCATGCCCAGCTTTGTGGTACAACCTGTAGGGACAGAGAGACCATCAGGTACCTAAAGCAACATTCCAGAGCCCAGCTATGACCACAGGACAAGAGGGAAAACAAAGTGTGACCTCCGATGAGGACCTAGAGACAGAGAGAACCTCAGACCCTCACTCAGAGCACGTAACACCGAGGAACACCGACACCAAGAAGAGTAGATGGCATGGCAGGCACAGGACAGATGGGGTCAGCAGAGATGACTCACTGGAGGCTAGTCTGTTGGAAAGACCAGGGTTGGGGACCGGGTTGGGGACAGCTGTGGTGGACAGGTAGTCTTCTTCCAGGTTGTAGTAGATGGTATCATTCACTGGTAGAATCGAAGACCAGGGTAACTTCCTCTTCAACACCCCAGCTATGGCTTGTTCAGGTGTGGCTTCAGAATAGGAGATGCCTTGGACAGTAGCAAACAGCAAAGGTACTCTACATCTTTTGAAGATGTCTTGTCTTCATCTTCTCAGTGTGTGTGTGTAGTGGGCATGCTGGGCAAGGCTCTACCACTGAGCTATATCCCTAGTCCTTATTGTTTGGAGACAAGTCTCTCTCTCTCTCTCTCTCAGCTGCCCACTCTGGCCTTAGACTTGTGATTTCTCCTGCCTCAGCGCCAATCATAGGCTTTTGGCATCATGCCCGACTTGATGTGGTACTTCCTAGAATCTCCCCAGCAGTTTTCTGGGGAGAGGATGAATACCACTCTGCTTTCTTCTAAGCATTTGCACCTCCAACCACCCATCTGTGAATGTGTCCCCAGCCATAGCTACATCACCTCTGTGTCACCATCAAGTGGCACCAGAAACTAGGGATAGTGATCAAGCCTGCTGGCAAGAGGGCCTTTCCATACCTCTGGATACCCATGGTGATGCCCAGGCTTCTGCTGCCAGGAGAACCCAGGGACAACATACAGAATTCCAGCACGCTGGGTAGGTTCTACCAATCTTAGAGAGAAGTTAAGACACCACACGGAGCTGGACAACCTAATCTGGGCCAGGTTAGCCTACTGATGGGTATCACACCCACCATATCCACACCCGAGGGACCCAAAGGTGCAGCGTCAGAAACAATGTAATAAACAAGGGAGTGTGAGGTTCCTCTGTGCCCCTCACCCCTGCAGCCCTATGTGGGCACCCACCTACCCTCTTCTCTGTTCCAGGTGCTACCATAAGGCCTAGAGCCAACTCTAGACCTGGCAGCCCAGGGAAGGCTTGGTAGCTAATTCCCACACGAGTACACCATGGTTAGCTTGACTCCCACCCAGTAATTAGCTGGCTTACCTGGCTCCACCCAGGCCTTAGCAACCCAGAGTTCCCCCATCCACCTGGGTAAGGATCTCAAACTCATCTGGCTTTAGTTTACTCTTCTAGACCAGACCTTTGCTCTGTCTCCTCCTAAGTCAGGGGCATCCAGGTACTCTGGCCACATCCATCCTGGGACCCCCACATAGCTAGCCCAGCTGACCTATAGGTCAGCAAACTTCAAAGTCCAACACACTGTCTGCCCCCTCCCCTCCAGGATGTCCACTGCCTGACCTGGATAGCTGTGAACAACCCCTACTACACACAGACACAGGCACACACAGACACAGACAGACACACACACACAGACACACACACACTCCACCATTCCTCTCTCCCCTTGCCTGAACACAGCCCTTCCCATGTCACAGAGAGGGTAAGAAAGGCCCTGGTATGCTTGGGGCAGAGTTGGGGGCAGCATGGAGAACTACTGCCAGCAATGTTAACTACTGGCACTCAGCCAGGCCACTCTGGGGCCCAGGGGACAGCCAAACAGGTCAGACAGGGTCAGCTCCTCCCCCTAAGCCAGGCCTCTAGCCTTCCTATGGCACAGGACAACCCAGCCTGCCCAGACCTCCCCCTCCTCCCTGACCCCTGTGAGAAGACCACAGGACCCAAACCTGATTCACTGAGTTTCTGGGCTCCAAGATAAAAAACATGTGTGTTTCTTTTCACTGGCGAGAAAGTCCCGAGATGCAACTCTGACACTGTATGTCTCTGACTCATGGACTTGGGAAGTGGCATTCCCATTGCCTCAGGGTCACCACCCTCTAATTCCCCTGCAGTAACACCAGCCCTGACCTCAAGTCCCAGGAGACAAAGCCTGACCTTAAGTCTAGGAGGGGACAACAGGATCCTCACTGCTGTTCTGCCCAATCCTCAGCTTCCAGAGGAAGGCTCGCCACAAGTGCCTGTGCCCAGCTACAGACCCCTGGTACTCACTGATCTCACAGTGGGTGCCTGAGTAGCCCAGAGAGCACAGGCAGATATACTGAGTGAAGATGTCTCCTCGATGTGTGTCCTCAATCACTTGGCATTTTGCATCATTGTAGCAAGGGTTTGGGAAGCAGGGTCCTGGAAGCAAGGAGGCAGATGAAAAGGACAGGTGGTCAAAAAAAGGGCTGGGAACAGACTAAAGAGCAGAATGTAACCAGCCTCACTGCATCCATCCAAATCAGCCCCTTTTCTTCCCTACCCCAATCATCCTGGACCTAACAGAGTCACCGCAAAGATGACTTTGAGCAAATACTGGCAGTGCTGACTTTTCCAAGCAGCTGAGAGTTTTTACTGGAACAAGGGCTACCCACTTTGGAAGAGGAAGGGGAGGCAGGCCACTGGGAGCAGGTACCTTTCTCAGTCTCATTGCACACAAGGCCTGTGAAGCCCTCGGGACAGAGGCAGTAGAAGTCATCGTCTTGCCCCAGCAAACAGGTCCCACCATTCAGGCACAGGCTGGAGTCACAGAAGTCACCTGCAACAACAACAGTGCAAACCTGAGCACTTGGTAAACACTTGGAGTTCAGCTACCACGTGCACATGCTAGACTCCTGAAAGAGGGGTTAGCTGTTATCCTACCCTCAAGAAGCCAGGGACTGGGGATGAAATGCAAAGGCAGAGCTCTTGCCTAACATGTGCAAAGCCCTGGGTTCAATCCTAAGCACTACCAAAAAAGGAAAACAAGGCTAGAGAAACAGCTCAGGCTAAAAGCACTTGCTGATTTTCTGGAGAACTGGGGTTTGGATCCCAATACCCACAGCAGGCAGCTCACAACCGCCTCTAACTCCAGCTCCAGGGGATCCATCATCTTCAGCCTTCTCAGGCACTGTACTCACATGCACACATCTAACCAGGGACAGCTGCACATCGTCTTTTTTAAAAAATAAAACAAATCTTAATTAAAACTAAAGCAGGGAGCTAGAGAGATGGCTGAGAGATTAAGAGCAATTACTGCTCTGGTGGAAAACCCTAGTTCAGTTCCCAACACACACCCACACCATGGCTTACAATCACCTATAACTTCTGTTTCAGGGGGCTTGCATCTTCTTCTGAACGCTGAAGGCTCCTGCATGCAAGTGGTGCACATGTAACACACTAGGGCTCACACGCAAACACAGACAATAATGCAAACTTCTTTTTAAAAGACAGAATGGGAAGGATGACGAGCTGTCAAATGAGAAACGAATATTCTAGAGAGAAGCAGATACACTGAGAACATGGCATGTCAGTCCGGATGTGACTGAACTTAGGCCAGGCTCACAGGGACTTTAAGAGTGACATGTTTGTTTAGACAATATGCTGCCATCAGTTGATAGCTTTTCAGACTTCCTTAAGCCCCTCCAGAATTGGCTAACAAGTCTGTCTCTCTGTCTCTCTGTGTCTCTCTGCCACCCTACACACAACCGCTGAAGCCAGATCCAAGTTGGAAAGGAGGAACCCTGAAACCCCCATGAGAAGGCTGAAAGGCCCAGGAAGGGTAGGTGGCCTGGCAGCAGCAGGTAAAGCCCACAGGTTGAATGGTAAGAAAGCACATTAGGGCAAAGGAAACGGAAACTGGGGAATCTGAAAGACCCCATAGAGCATGGACTGAAGAGTTGGGGGAAGGCTGGAAGGGACACCAGAGTCTTTGGAGAGCCGAAGGTGACAGACGTACACTGTCCACTAGGATGGAGAACACAGGAGGGGTGGGGTGGGGCTGAGCTCACCTGGCCTGTGATTCAAAGGACTACGTGCAGCTCTCCAAGCAGCTGGTAAACCCTCCCCATCTCCACATCCAGAAAGGGTCTGGGGGCACCCTGCCTCAGCTCACCTTACTCCCATTTGTCCCCGGTCCTGACACTAGTACCAACCAGGGAACAGCCGCCATGTCCGCTGTACCCCCAGTTCCTACAGGACCTTAGCATCCTACTAGACCAGACCCCAAACCTGGTACTAGAATCAAACCTATGAGACCTCTTCTCCTCCCCACAGTGGCCCATCCAAGGCCCCAAGGGAGCTTGGGCTCCCCAGCTGGAGACAGGAACACCATTAACGAGCACCAGCCCACATAGCTCCACCTCAGCAAGGGCCTGGGGATCCAAAGGCTCTGTGGCAGAACTATTAGTCATCAGCTTTAAATAGCAGGTTAATCCCCTCTGACCTGGAAGGGCACAGTCACAGCCTCACATGGAAGCTCCGGAATGGCCAAGTCCTAGGCACCCTGTCCCAACAAAGGCCCTTCTTCCAGCCTTCCTTACAGCTGCATGCGGGATCAAACCAGGGGTTCGGAGAAGAAAGCAAAGTGGAAGGTGGCCAGCAGCTGCCGGTGTGGTAACCGCCGGGGCTGAGGCTGATCACCTGCATGTGAGACATAAGACCCTAGTGCCTCTACAAATGCTATGGGATATCAAGGTACTGCTCTAAGAAATGTCCCCTGGGATATTCTGTCAGGGCACAGGTTGTGGGAAGGATTGGGGGAAGTGGAAAGGGTCAGAGGAGACCTAAGCATCCTCCAGCTGAGAGGTAGGACCAGGAATTCCCAATATGTGGAAGCTTGAAGCACTCAATGCCTTCAGCTACATCCCTGAGGTCAGATCCTGTGTTAGACGGCAGAGCTGGGCCCAGCTGTGGTCTCTCCTGCCTCGGCCAGACCTGTTTCTATGAGAAAACGATGAAGGGGCTGCTTGACGAGCCCCTGAGCTCACCCTGTCCCACATAGGCACAACCTACTTTAGATGAACTCCCCAGCAGCATCCTGCAAGAGGTCCAGATGTCTACCGGGGACCTCAAAGCGGGGGAGGCAGGCTAGGGAAGATTAAGCAGACAGCCAAGGCCAGCCGAGTGGGAGGAAGCCCTTTTCTAAGTTCCTGACCAGCCCTACCTACAACTCAGTCTCTTGCATCGGTTCCTCCGTCATTTCTCCCCTTATCTGAACAAACACCAACAAGTGGGGCGCAAAAGTTTATTGGATTCTCAGCCAGGAGGGTTGGGGAGAGAGCTGCTGGGAACGTTAGTTGGAGAAGTTTGCTTACAAGAGTCCTAGACTCTCCCAAACGAAAGGACTGGAGAGCAAATACAGTTCGGTGGCCTCATTTTACAGACGCGGTAAAAAGAGGCACGACGCAGCGGATTCCTTTGTTATGTGTAAGTCACATCCCTGGGGCAGGCAGGGCTGTCACCGGGTGTCCAGTACACAAGCCACCATCACTGCCCCGAGGCCCCAGCGCAAAGAGCACAGAGGCTGAACACGTCCGCCTCTCCTACCCAGGCGCAGCCCAGGCGCGGGTCCCGCAGGCTTAGCTCAAGTTTGTCAACAGTAGGGGTGGAGGGAGGGCGCCGCTGAGAACTTCCGAGCAGCGGGCTGAAGAGGGGCGGGGCCCAAAGGGAGGCGCGGGGGACTCACCGGACGCGGCGAAGAGGCCGGAGGCACAAAGTAACACGCCGCACAGCGCGGCCAGCGCTCGGGAGAGCTGCATGCTGCGGGGCACGGGAAAGAACGCGCGCACTGAAGCTGAGACCTGCGGATTCCTGTGTCCGCGCCTCTCGCACGGGAATAAATCAGGCTCTCGGCTCCGCCCACTCCCCACGTGCTCCGCCCAGACCAGCTCTAGGCGGGCTCTGGGCGGAGCTCCGAGACCACAGAGGGAAGAGGGAGGGCTGAAGTGGGGGTCCAGCGTCTCAGCCTCCCCTCGAGCCACGCCCTACATCCGGCTGCCAGCTCTCAGCCAGAGGCCAGGCCACGCTTCTTGAGTGGACTAGACAGGGGGAAAAATCGCTCAGGAGGAATTTAAAAGATAGCTCAATGATGTAGTAGTGCTTCCCTAAGCATCTTGGCGACCCTGGATTCGATCTGCAAACCAGCAAAGATAAATTTAAAATAAAATAATCCGGGCGTGGTGTCTCATGCTTGTAGTCTCAGTATTTGGGAAGTAGGATCAGACACCAGGTTCAGTTGGATGCAAGTGAGGGCCCTATAGTGAATTTCAGGTTAGTCTGGGACCCTGTTTCCAAAACTTGTTTGTTTGTTATCTAATTAATTAAACGCTGTTTAGACTTAAAATGCTAATGCTTACTTGAAATAAGAGAACAGCAAATGGAGATTACAATGAGTACTGTGTTTCCTTTATCAGATTGGCAAGTGTCAAATTGTTAACAGTGGAGGCTGTGGGGCAACAGGCTGAGACATGCGCCCTTGGACAGAATGGAAGCCAGCTCTTTATTTGGGAATATCTTTCAAAATGACAAAATAGCAACACCTTAAGACTAGCACTTATGCTCAGAGACACCCATTCCATTAGAAACGCATGTGTGCAAAATGATATCATACTATGACATCATAACATCTTTAGAAACGATGAAAAGACCAAAAAGAAAAAAAAATGGCAAACTTGTGTAAAAGTTCCAAATAAAAAATATTTTAGGATTTTGACCGGGTATGGTCTATAATCCCAGCACTCTGGATGCTAAGACAGGAAGATGGAAGTCCAAGGCCAGCTTGAACTACACAGTGAGCCCTCACCTACCCTGAGCAACAGAGTAAGACCCTGTCTCAAAAGTAAATAAAGATAAATATCTGGATGAGAAGATGGCTCAGTGGATAAAGCAAATATGACAGCCTTGGTTCAATCCCACAGAAACACTTGGGAAAGCAGACAGGAGCAGAGAGCCCAACTCCGTAAAACTGTCCCCTGACTGTCACACCCCCACAGTGGTACATGTGTGCCCACACACCTGCATGCAATGATGATGATCATACAATGACATTTTTTTAAAGATTGATTTATTATGTATACAGTGTCTGCCTTTATGTGTGCCGGAAGAGGGGACCAGATCTCATTACAGATGGTTCTGAACCACCATATGGTTGCTGGGAATTGAACTCAGGACCTCTGTAAGAGCAGCCAGTACTCTTAACCTCTGAGCCATCTGTCCAGCCCCCAGTACAATGACAATTAATAAAGTTTCTTGCCTACACTTGGGAGGTGGAGAAAATCAGACCAAGAGTTCAAGATCACCCTCAGCTAGATAAGGAGTTGGAAATCCAACTTGGGCTATGGGAAACCCTGCCTCAAAGTAATAAGTACAAAATAATGATGATGACAATGTAAAATTTTAGGTCTTGGTGACAAGTAAAAGGAACAGCCTTGTCACTAGAAGGTACCTCGATTGCAAGGAAATGAGTATTATGGGGCTGACAAAGGGAAAGAAATCTGAGCCTGAAGGACAGGAGCTTGTCACTACTGACTGGCCATGGGTTCCTTACTTCTATCCCGGTCAAGTGTGATCTGTTTACACTAGGTATTAGTAATAGTATTCCAGTCAGAGTAGTGAAGTTGAAAAAAAGCAGTCACACAGCTCCTGTGCTAGCTGCACACAGATCTAGGTGGGCCGTGATACTGTTAGGACACACTTCTTAAAACTGTTCTGAAAGAAGCCTGGTGTGTTGGGTGCATGTCTGTAACCCCAGCACTTGGGAGGTGTCTCAGGTTGATCATGGGTTTAAGACTATCCTTGGCTATATAACAAGTTTAAGGTTAGCCTAGGCTACATGAGACCTTGTCTCAAAAAAGGAGGGGAGGGTGAATCCCAGAGGTGAAAGGTAAGTCTCTATTGATGAAGACACCATGTCCTGCAGGAACAGGGGTCAGAGGCTTATGACCTGGAACCTGAATCCCTCCTCCCTGAGGACTATCAGAAGGTACCATGCAAACTTGAAAAGAAGGGAAGCAACCAACAGTCCTACTCAGCTATGATGCCTACAAACCACAACAATGTCCAGCATGGCATGATAACTATGGGCACAATAGTGGCACTTATACCTTAATGGTAACCAGCAATTATCCAATTGAACTTAAGACCCCTCTCAACAAGAGGTGAAACCATGCCTGGTACTGAAAACATAGCAAACTACTCAGTGCTAGTCAAGTCATGGACCTTGGAGAACCTACAACCACCACTTTACTAAACCAGCATAACCCCTAATTGAACTCTCAATATTTGTCCTTAAACCCACAGATTACTGTAGTCTTCCTTCCTTATCAATTAAACTTCTCTTTGCAACAGATGGAGATCATTACAGGAAACCATAACCAATTAAAATGTAGTTGTGGAGCCCAGGCCTAATGGATACAACTGTAAGCCACTCCCATACCTAAGGCTCAGGGAACGTTTTAGAAGTGGGAACAGGACAGGATGGGAAATAACACACCCAAGGCATAGTACAATCAGAGCCTGAGGATTGCCGAGTTTGCTGTAAGATTTTGTCTCCTAGTAATGTCAGAAGCTACACCCATAAAACCTCACCAACATGACTATCTAACCATGAGCTGAATAAGGACAATACCAAAAGATGGGCCAAAGTGGACTAGGGAAAGCCCATGAGGCTTCAGCCCTACACAAAGAACTACAGATCCCTAAGAAATGCTGGAGTAGGAGAAATAGTCATCTCCAGATGACTAGATAGCACAGCAACTGGTTATCCAGTACCAAATGATCAGCCCTGAAAACATACATGTGAAAACATACATACTAAGCAGGTTATCCCTGGGATACACACACACACACACACACACACACACACACACACACACACACACACAAGGCCATGATTTATACGGGAGAGCTTGGAGAGAGGAAGGGAATGGAGGAATTTTGTGATTATATTATAGTCCCCTGACAAAGGGGGGAAAAAGTTATAGAACTGTACACCAAAAAGTGCATTTTCCTGAACACAAATTTAAAACAACTTTAAAATAACACGGAAAATGTAAACTAGAGAGAGAACAGGAACTCAGCATCAATGCTGACCACTTAGGACTGGAAGTCCAAATCTGGTTTTGTACTGAGCACAAAATGTTACAGGGTAGCTATTATAAAGCCATCAAAAAGATGCCTCACTGGGGACACAAAAATAAATGACTCTTCAACTGGTGAAGAAGAAGAAAAAGAAGAAAGAAGGAAGAGGAAGAGGTGGGAACCTGGAGAGGTGGCTTGGCTGTGACTATCACTGGTTGCTCTTGCTGAGGACCAGGCTTCAACTCCCATCACCCTCAAGGTGGCTCACAACCCTCTGTAACTCCAGTTCCAGGGGATCCAGCACCATCTACTGGCCTCTGAGGGAAATGCATGCATGTGATACACTGACGTGCATATAAACAAAACACTGATACACATAAAATAAAATAAATCTTTAAAAGTTAAAGTTCTGCTCCAAAGGGACAAAAAAACTTGCCAAGCAAAGGAAAAGCATTAATAATATTCAACGACACTCCATGACAAAGCATTCAGCACACTGGGAGTAAAGGAAGCTTCCTCCAAGGTCCTAGATGACTATAAACAAACACAGCTGATACCATCAGTGAGTGGGTAAGGCCAAGAACAAAACAAGGGTTTCTACTCAGCCACTTCCTCTAAAGTTATAAAAGAGATGGGAACTTGGACAATCAGGTCAGAACCAAAAAATACATACAGGTAGAAAAGAAGGAAGTAAAATTACCGCTATTGCTATTCACAGATCACATGATCTTATACCTAGAAAATTCTAAAGAATCCACATACAGAAAGTAACTATAAAAGCTCATGGACATGGTGAACAAGGCTGCAGGACACAAGATTACTACACACAAATCTCTCTTTTTAAGTTGCACTTTCTTTCCTTGTTTGTTGGTTTGTTTGGGAAAAGGGACTCACTCATTGTAGAGCCAGTGATACAATCTGTTCCACGAATCGGACGAAGGCCTAGAGATTGAAATAAGAGACAAGGCAGCAGGTCATTCGTTCAACAGCAATGTCGGAATGCCGAATGCCATTTATTGAGGTGATGTGGTGGGCTTATATACTGACTCACAGCACAGTGGAAAACAACAGGGTCAAGAGTACAAGTTGTCAGGCTTAGCTCAAGGTGCCTGGGGGGCCCATACTGGGTCCTATACCTCATGCCATAGCACACTTGCTGAGGCCTGAGGACAACGTTAAGGAGTTGGTTCTCTCCTTCCAATAAGGAGGTTCTGGAGATTGAACTCAACTCATCAAATTTGGTGGCAGGCCCCCTTCACCCATCTCAACAACCCAAACAATGGCACTTCATCTATTTACTTATTTGTTATTTTATATTATTTTCGTAAAGATAATGCGAAGCAAACACCTCTGAGATGTATGAACTGTATCCTTAGCACCCTGACCCTTTTGGTGCTGGAGTCTTTTTCTTTCCTTTTTTTTTTGGGGGGGGGGGTAGGGGGTGGAGGAGGGGCAAAGTATCATAGTAAGAATTTGTATGTGGCACATGCCTTTAATCTCAGCACTCGAGGCAGAGGCAGGTGGATCTCTGTGAGTTCGAGACCAGCCTGTCTACAAGAACTAGTTCCAGGACAGGCTCCAAAGCCACAGAGGAACCCTGTCTCAAAAAACCAAAAAAAAAAAAAGTATTTGTGTTGCCAAAGTAAGGGGTTAAGGGGTTATAATAGCACTGAGCATGCAGCTCAGTTGAGAGAGTGCTTGCCTAACACACACTAAGCCCTGGGCTCAAGTCCTAGCACTGAGTAAATGGACCATGGTGTCCACATCTATAATCT